GGAATTAATACTATCTGGTGTAAGAGTTTACACTATCTTTTAAAGGAGTTTACACTGTGCTCGTGTAGGAGATTACCTCATTTTGTAACTTCTACTTAAGACAAATAAAAAGTGACGCAAGGATAAAACCTACAGTGATCCCAGAGAAAAGGCGATCAATCGGGTACAATGGAGAATAGGAGTTGCAGTCTTACAGACCAACATTCTAGTTGAAAAAAAACGTATAGATATTTAAGTAGGGGAGCAAGGGGGAAAACCTACTAGAAGAATGAATACCTTCATAAATATTAAGGATCTTAAAATATACTTAATCTTTATGCACAGTTCTTCTACTTCTTCACTAGGTTACTTCTTGTTTACAATATTTAGTTACAATACAGTGAATATCATTCATATTTATTTTTTAACAAGCCAATAACTTTTTTTAATATTTTATCGGTCTTGCCCCGATATCGGAGCAATATCGATTTGTAAAGGGGCAATACATGGTATGGCACGTACCTAACCTAACCCTAGCCTAAAATAAATAGATATCAACGATTACGTACGCATTATAAATACTAATAAACAGTCGATATTGCCCCGTCGGTTTTGCCCCAAAGCATAATTTTTACAAAATTGTTGATTACTTACACAATATTATTAGATAAAATTAATTTAGTGATTGCAAAACAATCTTTACAAGTTGTAGATTCACACTAGACGTGTATGATTATTGTAGTATAGTTTTATCATAGTTTAATCTTCAATACAAAATATGTGAACATAATAATAATTACGCTTCAAATGTTCGTCATCGAATAAAAATTATAAAAAAAAACCCGTTGCAGTTGATGTTAACAGTGATAACAACATGTTCCATGATAATAGGAATGAAATAAATCTAAAACTAATAATTTTCATCTATAGAATAATGCGTTGTAAACAACATCAGTTTTACATTGGTATCGGCTTTACCCCGTGTTCCCCTACCTACATCTACATTTAAAAAAGTTTTAAATCTTTTTTTTTTCTATACTGTGTGCGAAAATTCGACTAGAAATTTTGCTTCGATATATACACCCGGCACCATTTCTGAAAGGAAATATTGTCCAGATGGCACTTTTGAAAGGTCATTTTTTAGTTTTCAAGCGGTTTTCATAATATCTAGGAAAAACCAGGATAAAACGTAAGAAAAACGGAAAATGTACGAAATTAATGCTTTTATTATTTTATCAATTTTGTTACTTGTTGTAATTCAGTTTAAAATATTCGTAGAAACTTGAAATTTTGACAGAAAATTTATATTTGTCTTTTCTAGACGTGGTAAAATTTTCAAAAAATTTAAGTCATTAGGCTATTTATAGATATTTTAATTTTACTAGTTTTATACGTAATTTACTTTGTGGTAAAAATAATGAGTTTAATATAGTATTTGTTTTTATAAAGGAATTTTGAATTATTAAATGTTGACGAAAATTATTTGAGTAAAAAATTGTGTGGAATAAATCTAATTTTTAAATTTTTTTTTTTTTTCTAACATATGTATATTGCCGATTAAAGAAGGATGGTGAAGTCAGAATTGAGCGGACTGATTATGTTTCGAAATTATAGATTTTTAAAGTTCAGATATTATGCAGGTATATTAAATAACTTTACATAGTCTGTTTTATTAAACATCGCGGGTTCAAACCCGGATTATGAAAAGAAATAAATTGTTTGCAGTTTTTCACCTTTTAATTAAATAGGGGAAAAACAAATGCATTTTAAGTATACCTAGAGACCTAGCTATCGCAAGATCGGACGATTTTAATCAAAAAATACCCCTCGATTCGTTGTGCAAACTTTTCTATTAAAAATCTTGCTCCCATGTATCAATAATAGCTTATTTTCTAAAAGGGAATTTTATCTCTATAGTTTAGAGAAATCATTTTTGTGATTTTTCAATCGGTTTTCATAATAGCTAGAAAAAACCGGGATGAAATGTCGGTAAAACTGAAAATGTATGAAATGTAAGTATTAATAAAAAAAAAAAAATTATGGCCTTTTTTTTCTGTGCACAACTTTTCTACAAAAAATTTTGCTCCGATTTACAACGATAGCACTTTTTGTGAAAATGAATCTTACCGAGAAGGTGTACTTTAGGGAGGTAATTTTTCGATTTTTCCAAGAGTTTTCTTAGCAAATATGATAATCCGGAAAAAAAACACGGGAAAACCAAGAAAAACGCAAGAAAATCGATACAATATCAAATAAATATTATTAAAGAAAATATATAATACCTATTTAATTCTTTTACTATAATATGACATATATATTGTTGAAAAAGTATCACTGTCAACTGAACTACGCTCAGAATCGTTTTTTCGTTATCAATGGTTAATTTATAATAAGGCATTTATAATAGGTATGAATTTTAAAATTAAATTTTGATAAAAATCGTAAATAATACGGTCTTTCAATACCTTTCAATAACCGAACTTCAATACGAATCGTCTTTCGTCGCTTACAGATATAAATTATATAATTGTGTGCACCATACCTTTCCAGCTCCCCGCCTATAACAGTGACACATCCGTCCCCAGTATCAGCTCTTTTTTTTCCATTTATTTCGATAAAATAGCTTGTGCAAATAAATACGCAACACCTTAACATTTAATCATTAGCTGTGTGCCATCACATTGAAATACTGTTTTTAATATTTTTTCATTTGCCATTTGCTGCATGCGTAGGACTATATACCTATGGTGCCGGATGGTTGAATCCCAAAACCGCACTCATCAAATGGACAATTATAGCTGGTACCTACCGTAATAACATAATATACCGCATGATTTTATAGTAGGTTTTTTTTTTTTTTTTTTTTTTAATTGCATTCATGCCGTGTTTTTGTGTGTGTGATTATTGTGCTTATAGTAAGTATCTACGTAAAAAATAAACCGCACACAATAATTGATTTTTATACCTAGTTGGAAAATAAGCGATAACAAAATGTAACTATTTAAACCGCATGCAACCACTTTTTACGATTATACATTATAATTTATTGTCTACCTACTAGTCAGGTAGCTATAGACCTGACTAGGTACCTGTTTTATAATATTAACCGCTGATCATATATATAATATATTATAATGAACCTCCTGTTAAATTTTTAAGAATATTTCTGTTTAGTCTAATAATTTTATCCACAGATTACCTATACCGAATAGAAATTGCGTGAAAAAGCTCACAAAATTAAAATGTCTATAAATAGCTCAAAAATGGTTCAGATATTTTAAAAATTTTACCACGTCTAGAAAATATTAAATATAAGTTTTTTGTGAACATGTCAAGTCTCTTTATACGAATACTTTTAACTGAATTACAACATAAAAACAAAATTGAAAATATTAAAAGTATTGTTTTCTTAAATTTCCTCGTTCTTCTACGTTTTTTTTTTTGTTTTGTTCAATTATTGAAAAAAATGTACAAGAAAAATCGAAAAACGACTTTCTCATTCACGAACTAGATTAATAATACAACATAAATGGTCTTTTGTTGTTTTTTGATTAAAGCAATATTTCCGGTATAAAACATAGTGTCCAAAAATTAAACACAATGAAATCGATAACGCTATGACGCGCCGTAAATATTAGCTGTTTTACCCAAATTTTGTTTTCAGTTTTTCACTATTATCTTTAAAACCCTGTTAAAAATAGAAAAATAACCTATTTAATTCACCAACTAAATAAAATTTAATTTTAGAAAAGGTGCTTCACTTGATAGATGCATCGGAGCTAGGTTTTTTTTCGAAAAGTTATTTTCAGAAAAAAAAAAATTAGCTGATACTAGAGATGGGTGTAACCATTGCTGTAGTTGGGAAGTGGGAAACAAGAATACATAAATTAATATAGTTTATATTTGTACGCAAAGATAAACCATTGCTAACGAAAAACGATTCGAAGCGAAGTTCGGTAAGAAATATTTTGAAATGCGTAATTTTTACGATTTTCGTCAAAATTAAAACTCAAAATGATTATGATTTATGAAAAAAAATGACTTCATGTCTACATACGTTTGAATTTTTGGTACCGCTATGTACAATTTCGAAAAAAATTATCAAACATTTTTACTCGGCTAAAACAATTTTATCCACATAATTCATACTGAAAAACTAAAAATATGTCAACTGTCTACATAAATAATTGAAAATCGCCAGTTTTAAAAATTTTACCGTGTTTGGATAAAGCCATTAGTATTCTGCGAATTTAACAAGTCTTTATTTTTAACTCAATAACAAAAAAAATATCAAATTAAAAATAATGAAACTAACTGCAATTAACATGTCCCAAACTTTACTGTTTTTCCCATTAATTTAAAAAACTACACAGTAAATCAAAACAAATTTCTATTTATACTCCAACTAGACAATCTTTTCTTTTGGAAAAGATACTACCATTGATTAAAAAATATTTATAATTAATGAATAATTATACTATACTCTTGAAATTCAGAACAATATTTCTGGTTGAAAAAAAAATGTAACAAATTTGGAATAAAAAAATTGTTAACAATGTAAATTTGTCAGTTATTGTTTAACTTTTTTCCTGTTTTTATCAATTATTACGGAAATCACTTGGAAAATCAAAAAGTGAGCACCAACTTGAACCAAAATTCAACAAAAAAATTTGTTCCATATTTTGATTGGATCAAAATTACTGAAAGAAATGTTGTAAACAGAGAAAAAAACAATACATTATAGTAAAACCAATACTTAAATATTCCTCACCATAAGTTCAGATTCTAAAATTTATTATTTTTATATTACTACTTTTATTATGACTCAGAGGTATTATAAAAAATAAAATACCTGTATCAGTAATATTTTATAGGTGAAAGTTTGGTTGGAATTCGATATGAATTTCATTATGTTGTTATGGAGCAGTGTTTTTTTTTTTTTTATGTTGCTTGGATCTTTTTTTATCCAAAATGAAGTCAACAGGATGAAACATTGTATATTCATAACATTAGTATCAAAGATGTGCCTATTAGGTGTTTTAACATAAAATATTTCAATTTTTTCCCAATTTTGTTTTCCACTAGAAGTCTTCATTGACTCCATTGATCCTCTGCTGCTTGCATGTATTCTTCTTTTTTAATGTTATTTATCAATTATAATATTTAAAAACAAAAAATCATTATGGAACATATAATGAGAATTTCAAATTAAAACACTCAACCGAAATACAATCCTAGCTACACCACTAGTAAAACCAATAGATTCCCCCTTGCCCTCACAATTTAAAATGTGTGTTGATAATATAACAATAATATATTTTTCTTTGCATACTGATTAATTTTTTTATTTTTGTAAAATGTCCAATACAATTTTCTGTTAGAATATAATTACATAGATAGATAGTCAGGTAAAATGGTAAACACATATTATAATAATATTATTAGGTATAATAGTTCTAATACATAAAAATTGTTATCATAATACAATAAGTAAAGAGAAGTGTAATAGTTATAACACAATAATAATACAAAAACTACAGATATGCTATCAAGTTAACAATGATTAATAATTATTATTGGTCTAAGCTGATACAATAATTTTAAAACTATAAATAGATATATTAAGGTTTAACTATCATGATGACTTAGTATCCCATATTTTGTGTCCTTTAAGTCTACATTATAATTTCATTTAAAACCAATATTATGCATTATAAAAAGAACACCATAAATAAGTGACCTAGTGTAATAATTACCTAATATAATATTACTTAATGTAATAAATATTGTATAGATACCGTAAAATTTTAGCTCCATAATTTAATAATCAAAAGATAATTTTCAATGAATATTCCATAAATATAATATATTAATTTATTTTATCTATCAGTTTAATAAATAATTTGTCTAATGAATAAATATATAAAGTAACTAATTATTTTATGAAAAAATTCAACTATTTTTAACTTGTATAAATATTCTACACACACCGTATTAATAGCTGATAAGGATTTATAGTTCAAAAATAGTTACCAAGGCTGGACAAGTTATTTGGATTTGTATAATTTGTATAAGAATATGTCTGATGAAAATTACATTTAAATTTTTTAAAAAAATAGCTCCCACTATTTTAGAATTTGAATTGAGGAATGTAATGGTTTACAATGTTTATTTTAATTTTATCTGTGAACAACTATTCTACTAGAAATTTTGCTCCAATTTTTCAATGTACCACCTTTACTAATACTAAATTGTACTGGGGTTGTACTTTAAGGAGATAATTTTTTGATTTTCCGTGGGTTTTCATAATAAATAGCAAAAACAGGAAAGAATTGTAAGAAAAAATGAAAATTTGTTTTTTTTACGAATTTTGATGAAAATCTTAAATTCTATATTTCAAAATATATGCAACCAAACTCTGCTCAAAATCGTTTTTCGTTAGCAATAATTAATTTTTAGCCTTTGAGTAGAAATATACATAAAATTTCCCTCCTACCTTCCCAACTTTTCACCTACAACAGTGGCCCACCCATCAGGCAAAATATGTCCATTTGTTTGTATTTAAACTTAAATAAATTGTAAAACCATTAATAATTCTCATACCAAACATTTAAATTTAAAAACAATAAATGTTGCACATTTAATAAAACAAGTCTAAAAGGTTAGGTTTCAGATAACTTACTTATCAAGTTAAAAATTAATATGTTTAGTGACTAACTAAAATTAAGTGTTTAAGTTATACCCAACCTTATAAAAAAAATATTATTACATAATGCATATTTTGTTTGTTTTAAAAATAATTGATATTATTAAAAAAAAAACTGAAAATTAAAAATAAATAAATAATAACAATAATAATAATAATAATAGATTATCAACAACAGGTGACGTGGTAACTATTTTTTTGAGCTCTGACATTTAAAATAATAGGCAGTTATGGTCAATGAATGAGTGAACAGTACAAAAGTCTCATATTTGCAATGATTAATATAAAAGTCCAGAGTCCTATCAACACAAATTTTTTTTTCCACGCCACCAGAACAACTATGTTATTCTTATAAACAAAGTTTCGAAAATACAAATAATTATTGTAAGAAAATGTTATTAAAAAGTAAAAATAAAATAAAGTTTGTTTTTATAAATTATTAGTTTTTAATTGTTATGACATGTTCTTAAATAAAATGTAAAAAAAAAATCCCATACAAATGTATAATTAATATCACACTAGAATTATAATGTTATAGTTCATATTTTATAAACTATTAATATGAACACAATTGTCATTTTTTTTTCTTTTTTATTTTATTAATATTATATAAATAACAGTTTAAAGCAACTATAAGATACAATTGATGATATTCAATAAATAATTTTTTTATAATATTGTAATATTATTTACTAGCGCTAGGAAGAAATATTTTTTTAATTTTAACAATGCATTCATTTTGAATTATTATTATTATAAAAAAACCAAAAGAAATTACTAAAATAGTTCAAATTGTTCATATTGTTTTGTATTGGTATATATTATTCAGTAATATTTTTTTAAATTTTTATAAAGATTACAGGAACATTTACTTAAGGTATTACGAAATTAATTTAATAGCATTTTAATAGCAACTAATTATTTTTTAAAACAATTGAAATGTATTAATAATTAATTCAATTTATTAATATGTGACACTCAGAACTACCTACTATGCATTATTTATCAAGGACTAAGTAAGTACACTTTTACAATATAAATTTCTATGGTGGTTAGTTGAACAAAGGTTATCCGAGACAAAATTTGTAACAGTAATTCTTGTTAAAATATTGGAGACAAAAATATGTTCTGGGACATATTTATTTAAGCTACCATTTCATTGATAACATTTTTTTTTTCTTTAATAATACACATTATTCTAAAGTAGTAAGATTTCATAGAAATGTGCCTAACTGAACCGATTATTGAGATTCTACAGTCACTTTGATTTCTTTACCCTAATGTCCCCTTTTTCTGTCAGTTTTTTTTCCCAACAACTTTTATAGCATTATAAAAATAATACTTAGTCTAGCTATTACTAACCAAACAAAAGTTTGGTACCTAAAGAGAGTTGGGAGAATTATTTACTTAATTATTATAGTTTATGGTTTCAAAAATATTGTAACTCCTATTTAAATATGTTTACATAATTAAAATTCATGTTTTAAAGTAATATATGAAAACAGCAGTACAATACAATTTGAAGGACTACTAGGAAGAATAATAATAGTCAATATTCCTAAAATGTTCAATATTGCAATTTTAAAATTTCTAAAACCTAATTAAATTGTGTATTTAAATATAAGGTTAGGTTAAACCTTTGTTATATCACAGACTTTGATCTTTTTGCCTTAACTTGATTTGCATATCAATTCATTGGAAACAAACAACAAAATGATAATATTATAATTATCCTAATTTTTATTATTATTTTTTTTTTTTTTACTATCATCATTTTTCCTGTAGCCCTTCATTTGTTTAAAACTAAAGTGTACCAAAAGTATACCTAATGGGCATTAAATACTGAAAGAAATTAAGTATATATGTGGACAAAAATATGTATTTAATATAACATAATATGAGTACTCAGTAATACATAAATGAAGATCGATTTAGAGACCATGGTAAATTTGGAATGCATATGCACAATGATGATTAACAGTGATAATACTCTATGAGACCTGAGGTAAACCAATATAAATTAATTTTATACTGTTGTTTTTTTGATGAATCCTAGGGTGTTACTGTGATGGTGTTGAACTAACATTGTAAGTCTCATGGTTCAAATGCGGACGCGACTGTTTTCATTTGATCAACTGAAGCTCTAAAACAAATATTAAAACATATTAATTTAAAAAGTAAACATGTATATATTATAAGTATATAAATCAAATAGGAACATTTAAAATCAACAAAATATAATATACCAGTATTATAATAATAATTCTTGTATGGTGAAAATAATAAATTTGGTTATAACCATACATGCAAAATGATAATTTATTTAAGACTAGAAGTGAAAAATAATAATCTCATACTATGTGTGTTTTATGAAACATACCATTATGATATAAATTACAGATATCACTACAATAATAATAGAATTAGATATTACAAAAACCAATAAATTGAAAAATCATAATTATAAATATAAAAATAATTATTAAATAGCTATTTTTACTTGTGTAGGATGATTGGAAAAATATTAATTAACTACTATCTAGGAACAAAAGAAACAATTATAATAATAATACAAAAAAAAAAAAACACTAATAACTTTTTAGTATTCTTTGCCTTAAGTGGGACGCCACACGTCTGGATCTTCCATTAAAGTTGTGTGATGTCCGCCCATGGGTTGTGAGACATTGATGTTATCAACAGGAGAAGCAATACTTCCCATGTCTTCCCTAGTTCCTCTATTTAGTGTGTGTGTGTGTGTGTGTAACAAACACAAAAACAAAATGCCAATGTTTTTAGAGCATTAATAATAATAATAACCAAACACTGAGCAGATAAAAAAAATATCAAAACACTGTTTAATACATCATTATTATCATAATTATTAGATTTGATAGTAATAATATATAAATTTAAAACAATGATCAACTTACTTTTTTCCAATTGACATAAGACCATACAATAAACCAGTGCCGAAAATCAAAGCGCTGGCTATAAACGTACTTGGCCCAAAACATAGAAAAAGTGGTATTAAGGAGGCTCTGGAAAAAAAGGTCTATAAATACTAGAATACAAATCAATGGTTTTTTTAAAAAAACCTATAGCATTTTTAATTTACTATGGCGAACAAAAAATTATTTTTAAATTGATATTTAATACCAGTCTGAGTAGACAAGCAAGGTATTAAATAAAAGTATGATCTTTATTTAGCAAACAAGTATGTAAGTTATAAATACATTACTATTATTGTATTTTATCTCTTACACGATGTATACAAATGCTCTGGTCCAATAGGGTTTGCTTTCCGCAACATCACTAACATGCTGCATGTAATCAACAAACACACAGAGACAAGGTGCTTCCAACGCTATCAACAAGAATCCTAGTAATCTGTAATCCCACATGTAAATAATTGCAATAATTTGTTTAATAAAAGTCAACCTAAAATATTGTGTACTTACAATTGAATTACTCCAGCGAATAAACAGTTTGTGTTTAAGAATATAATTCCCACGCCATTCCAAATACCAGTGAATAAATTAACTGAATAAACACAAGATTTTCGAATTAAAACAAGTTTTGTTTTGTTTTTGGATTTTTTTTATCATGCATACCAATTCCTGCAAATGTTCCCAAAGTTCTACCACCATATTTCAAATGCCAAGGTATTTCATCTCTGTTTTCACCTTCATCGCTAGCTCTTTTCCAGAGATTAGTGACTTTATCGCCCATAGACTATAATTAAGAATGGAAAATCATAAAACATAACATAGATTGTTATTTAACCATACAGGTCGACATAAAATCTACATGCAATGCAATACATTTAACAAAATTTAATTCACAGCACTTAACTAATCTACATAATATAAAACTAATTTGCAAATCTAATTTTAGAGGGCATTGTTTAAATTACGAATTCACGTTAAAAATTATACCAGGGACTTTTATTCATTCTAACATGTTTCCATTAGTATCCTCAGTAGCTCAGTTTTCTACTATAACTTAACTTTTTTTTTATTATTTATTTATTTAGATAAATCAATTTATTACCCATAATTTAGTTATAAAAATAAACAAATTAATCCAGTTAAATTTTTTTTTCTTATTATTTTTCGTGATAATAAATAATAAAGAAATGGTTAAGCCATAGGTGTGGACCTATACCAATTGCAAGTGAGGTGATGTTACTGGAGTGGCGGAAAACTGAGATGATTTATCTCAGATCATTCATCATCATATACAGGATGATTCACTTAAGCACGCTAATCCCATTTTTATGGTCAAATTTTTAGTTTTGGAATTTTTAAATATAGTTAAAGACGATATTTTCAATTAGGTACTTGGATTTTTCACAACATTTAGGTAAGGGAGTATCCCGCGGCTATACTAACGTTGGTTTTTCAAACGAGAATCTGTACAATGAAATTCCGTAAATAAATGGAGTATTAGTTTAAATAAATTTTGGTACTAAAATGTTTGATTTCGGTCAACACGTCGACGAGATATTCGACTAGTAAGGCGGCATTCCCACTGGGCACTGACACCGTGTGCCGTGTAGTCGCGTAGACCATGTGGGCCGCGTAATATTTAACGGTACGATTGGATGAGTAATATCATAACCGCAATTTGGGTACCGCCATAACCGACGTTACCATTACGTTGCTACCATAAAGTCGAAAATATTCATCTATTCGGCGTGTGGTTATTAATGGCATCGTCACATCCATGGCATTTCCTCATTTCGGCCATTCTGCTATTCGTGACAAAATAGTTTTATTACTATTATTAGTTTTATTCTGTCGTGTTCGTACTTTTGTATCGTTTTTGATCTAAAATAACTGCTGATATTATTATTTTTTTATTTTTCGAGATACATTTCCACATCCCCCTATCATATTTTCATCTGGACACGGCTACCGGAGTCGTGACTAGTGAATATTTAATAAAAAATATAACACGCGCGTTAATTTCGGACTTCGCGTTTCGAATTAATCAGTAACCCGACCGAGTTCGGTCATCAATCTGTATTTGTTTTTTTTTTTTTTTATTAAAGGTCCAATTTGGTTAGGCGTTCACATATTGTGGTAACTCGGTGAAATATCGTTGGACGTTACACGGCACGCGACGTCAATGGAATGCCGCCTTTAAGTATGGGTAGGGGGCGAGTGGCGGAGTACCATTCGTGTGGCGGCACGGCGTGGCGGTGCTCCACTGCTCCCCGCCCGCCTATACTCCAGAGTCGAATACCGAGAGCGAACGGTTGACCGAAATCAAACATTTTAGCGCCGAAATGTATTTAAACAAAAACACGCCATCTGCGTGTGAAAATTTTTAAAACGGGTTCCCATTGGAAAAACCGACGGCCGGTATCAACAACGGACACTACGCGTTTGAAATCGCGGCGAAAACTCCAAGTGTTCGTAAACATCGTCGTTTTGCCCGCACACGAATGTTCCGAAAAACGGGATTCACGCGCAATTACAAACCGCGAAGAAAACCGGGGCGCGCGCGCTCGTGCGGCGGGGCCGCCTCGTGGAAAAAAAAAACGCCTGGCTTTACGACACTCGGAATGACCGGTACCCGTGAGCGCCGACGTAAACTGAGGTGTCCAAAACCGCTCGGCTTCCGACAACGTCCCGGAAACGAGCGGCGCGATTGAACGGCCCGCGGGGCCGCGCCGCGTGCCGCCCGCGAAGCGCGGCGTAAATTAGCGGGGTTTTTTTTTTTTTTTTTTTTTTTTCTACCAAATAAATATCGAACGAGTATTTGCATTGCCTGTATGGCAAAACGTTTATTACCGTAACGTTCGGAGTAAAAACTATGGTTGTAACGGTTTAACAGGAAAACGTCAACTTTCGAGCGCGGCCGCCAGCGGTGCGCGCGTCTCCGCGGTTTCCCAGCGGGGCGCATGGGGTACAATAAATAAACCATCGCGTTCCGGGTGTGTATTGCGTTGAGGGGTGCGTTTGTGAACCATACGACACGCGGTACACGCGCGAGTGCGCGATTTCGCGGGCTGTACAATTTATAACGGGATAACGCGGTTCGGAATGACGCATACGATTTCCGACAAAAAAACATTTCATTTTATTATTTTTTTTTTTTTTGAGTCGAAATATACAATCTATATCAGAAGACGTAATAAGCACATACGATAAGGTACGGATAACATGAGTGTACAAAATACAAAAAAGTGAGTAAAGAAGCCGCCCAACGACGACACCGCTTTAAAGTCGATAGTTTTATAGGAATGCAAACGAATTATATAATATTTAATTAGTTAATATTTTTTTTTATTTCTATATTGAAATTTGTAACAGGTCTCTACACCATTTGCGTTTTAAACGTCTAGGAGGACTGCCGTCGAGGGATTGACAGGGATGAAAGGTTTTTAATTAAAGGATTTGAGTGGGAGGAAAGACGGTTGTGGAATCTTTTGTAAAAGTGTTTGGCTTCCTCGTGGATAGTTATTAATTTTAGGTCTGTATGCAGAGTGTGGTTAGATATGTACGGGGGAGAATTTATTAATTTCCTTGGCGCGATGTTTCGAAAACATTGAATTTTATTTAAATTTGTTTTTTTTTTTTTTTGCACTTCCCCATAAATGACGCAAACGATTTCCGAAAAAAAAAAAAAAAACAACCGCCAAAAACACGAACTACGATCCCTGCTGAACTACGCGGATTGAAGCGGCGACCCCGGCGTACGGTGAAGCGCAGCCAGCCGGCGGCGGTTCAATCGCGCGGTACGGTTTTTCGCGCATGCGGCCGTACGAGCTTTAGCCTCCGTAACTCTGGTGTCTCGCGGTGGCCTATCCGTAACTGCGGACATCATAACATTCGTTGAAGTTCGTTTGGTATGATCACGGCCGGTAACGAATTTCCGCCGAAGGGATTGCCCCAATATGCTTGCAATTGAATTATTCTTTGGGTAATGGACATTTATTAAGAGTGTCTGCGGCGGGTACACGATCTCGCGGTGAAAAATCCCACTCCAAAGTATCGTTCAATGACCACGCACTTTTTATTAGGAACAAAGCGTCTGCAAGGCTAGGTTTATTTTTTATTTTTTTTTTTTTCTCCTAAACGCGCATATTGAAATTTTACAGACGAATCCGCATTGAAAATATTTTATTACCCGTTTATTGATCCGTTTACACTTTGATTATGGCCTCCTAATCTGGCATCCATATTTAGTGCGTAACACAAATATTGGTCCTACCATTAAACGTGTTTTGTAAGTGTTTAACGAGCTAAATGTTTAGTATAAGTGGATACTTAAAAGATAGATAGTAAAATCTTTACACGAGTATACCGAGTAAATATAAATAATCTGTTTTTAAGTAATAAAAAATTGAAAATAAACCGCAAAATCGTCAAGATCAATGTTTGGCTTTTGCTGGTATGTAATAAACATAAAAAAAAAAAAAAAAAACAATGATTATTATTATTATTTTTTTTTTTATTAAAACACCGGGGTAGTTACTTATTATTTATTTACTGTAGGACGACCAGGGCAGGGGGATTAAGGCCTAATTGGCTAAAAAATTATAAACAAATACGGGTGATCTAATATTGAAACGCATACATTTCAGCCAAGTTGCCTGTTGTATTGATTAGAAATGGACCGGTTTATTTTTTTTTTTTTTTAGTATCCGGCTTTTAAATTACCTACCTGAAAATTCCCGTAGTCGATTTGGGTAGGGAAAACGATTTCGCAATTCATTCGCGATTCTTATTCGCTACATTTTCACCCGTTGAAAATTCCCGCATACGTCACTGAACCAGAGCAGTTACAGAAGCGATTGCAATTAATAGTAGTTAATGGATTATAGATAATAGGTTTTATTGCGATAAATTACGACCGATTAAAAAATGCCTACGCGGGGGTAACCACTTGGCAACGCGAGATTTCGCCACGACATAGAATATCCCAGACGGTATCTAAATTTGATTAGAATCTAAAACATCCAAACATATTTTGCGCGCTGTTTAATAAATCACGCGTTAATGCGATACCTACCCAGTTAGTATTTATAACAAATCGTTTCGTTTTCGATTTAAAAGCGCAAATATTCGGCAAATTAAATGTTTACGAATTGGTCACGTTCACTTCGCGCTGTAGTCAGCAACGACGAATAAAACCGCAAATATTCTCGACGGGGTAAAATTAATAATCGTTCAAACAGACCGGTACGGTGGTTGTTCGCACCGGGCACGTATACAAGGGGGACGGGATGGGTTGAACCCCTCCCGAAAATTAACAACTGCGTAATTTGTTTAAATACCTAAATTCAGTGGTTTTTTTTTTTTCTTTCTAAAAATATCGATTGTTGTGAATTTTTTTATGAACCCCCGCCGCGAATTTCCGTTTTCTGTGTACGTGCCTGGTTATTACACTTATTCAGCAATATTCGGTCGTCAACAATATCGGTTTCGATGTTTGCAGATCGAATGACGGTTGCCCGGTCAGGAAAAACAAAAATGCCAACGGTGTTCCGGTTCCGGTTCCGGTTTCGGGAATGCAAAACGAACCCGTTACGGTAGTCGGACGATAAAGGGGCGGAAAGGCGCCGAGCGTCGGCTATTCGCTAGAGCTGTCTCGGGCTTGGGCTGGTGCCGTCGCCAGAAGCGCCGTACGTGCACGGCCAACGTGTTCAATCGAATGACATGGGCACAAACGACTACAGTACCGATAATTAAAAACGTCGATACAACACTCACCATGGTGGCAGCTAATGTGCGTATGGTACGGCGGCGGTGGGTGTGGGCGCTCGGGACCGACTGGCGTGGTGGACTTTGGACCGTAGGAGAACCGCGGCTATATTATTTCTTCCGACGGGTCCCGGTCACTATTGGCAGTGATGCGTCTCGGACGACCGCTTCAAATCCAACGAGTTTCGTAAGACCGTGAGAGCAACAGCAGCGGCGGGCGACGTCACGTTATCGGGTCGCGACGAAATACGGTACGAAACCCGAGCTATCAATTTATCATCGATACTGCTGAATTCCGTTTACGTGTGGGGGGCGTTCCGGCAGTTCGGGGGTCGCCGCCGCAGCGCCACGGTACCGCCGCACACCAGCGCCGTGGCTTTCCCTGCGCGCCTCTCCACCGCGGCCGGTGGAAGCGTTGACCCTACCAAATGGCGGCCGCGCGGGTATCGGCGCAGTAACGGGAACGGACTCGCGATTGTCGGTGTGTTGCCACCACACGGTTATCAACGGTTATAACCATAGACCAAAATTCAATGGTTATAACCACTGTAGAATATGTGTAACCGTGTTTGTAACCACCGTACCGTAGCGTAACTAGCGGCGAGTGTTGGCTTTATGTCACTTTGATCCCTCGACGAGTCACTCAGCATTCTCTCTCGGCGCGCGTCCGTGTAATCGACTTATGACTGCTGTCGTCCGCGTCAACCCGAGAAATCTAATCTCTAACCTTGTTTATCCTGCAGGTTTTTCCTCAACGTTTTCACGCGGTCCGGCTGTCAGCAGCAACAACACTCGTAGAATGGCATCGACAAGTCTGGATTCGATTTTACCTTGGCCCGCGTACTTCGAACAGATCATGAAAAATGAAGGTAAGCATAACAACACCAATATTCTTATTTCGATCCGATCGTCGTTACTATTCCATAACGTGACATCGTGCCCAAACAATAATGTATCCGTAATAACGTCCGTAATAATACCTAATCATGGATATCCCAGAATACGCATTTTTCCGACGCGGTTCTGTTTGTTCTTGTGTTTTGCGTTAACGTGTAAACATGAATATGTACAACGTATACCTAGGTGTTTTTCGATTTTTCAGTAATATGAAATCTGATCAGTGGTTTTTGATTCACATTGACTGTGCGTATATTATTGTTAATTTACGCAGTCATTTTGCGGTAAGCGATAATCTGGTTCCTGTGGAAATCCGTGAGGTGCGTTGTTGAAATGGAAAAGAGAGAGTGGTTTGTTTCGAGTGGAGTGTGAAGTAATGCGGAGAGACGATTTCCACCAAGTCAAGAGCGTCAAGAGTACTATTATGAAGAGAAGAGATGAAAATAAAGACAGTATTTATACGGCGGGAGACAAGAGTAGGATTACCGAGGAAGGAGCGGACACGGTCATAATTATGTGATGGGTGATCAATATTCAGCAAATGAAAGAAAACGGTTCTGGATCTGTTCAATACACAGATGGACACACCGTATAAGTGTGTCAAACAATGATTCCAGGACAGCCATACAGCAATATAAAGCATGAAGAGAGGAGAAAAGGGAAATTTTAACTTTATCATTGCATATTGCAACTTTTTGTGATGAACGTATAATAATATTGTATGATATGAATATCTATTTATTTATTTTATGATAACTATACAAATTTAATACATTTGTTATAAATAGCCTGACAATAACTTACATAAATAAAATAAAAAATAAGTTAATAATCCAAGACATTTATTACAATTCTGATAATATGATATTACCTATGTAATCAAAATCTATACATTTCAAATATGTATTATGTACTTGTTTAAAAATCTTCAGAATAAATTGATTTTCAAAACAAAATATTACCTATACCTATTATAATAATATTTTAATTTTTTCTTTTTTCTGAATTTGGTTTTAATACAATCATGCACATTTTATAAAAAATAATAACAATAAATAGGCAGGTAAAATTATAGGTAGTTAAGTGTCGTACAAATATAATTTCAGTATACAAAGTGATCCACTTTACCGTGCAAAAAAAATACACAATGTAAAATTCTAATAATTATTTCATGAAAAAATAACAACATTGTTAAAAATGTTTGTATTTTAAAGGTGTGATAAAGGTGTTTCCTCTTCACCAAAAAATTAGTAATAGTATTACATAACATATTGTTATAATACATTTTTATTTATGAAACAATAATGTTAATAATATTCCTTTTTTTTATGTAGTGTATTTTTAGTTGTGTAAGCATTATAAAAAATGTATTATTGAAAACACGTATTACTGCGGTGAAGCAACAAAATATTTTCTATTTGTTTTTTTCGATTGTAGTGAAAATAGAATTGATAGAAAAAAAGATAGAAGTGTGTGATAGAATAGATTGATGTGTAAAATTCAAAGAATAAGAATAAGTAATTATATTATAAGTTATCCACTTGATTAAATTTATAGGTACCATTAATATAAACAAATAACTGATACTGCTGAATGATTTGACACTGTTGTAGATGGAAAATTGGGATTGTAGAATACACAAAGTAGTTTAATTCATATCTGTATACAATTCTAAACTAAAGGTACATATTTTGAAATGCTATGATTTTTACGATTTTCAAAATTAAACTTATTTCCTATAACAAAAATAAAAAGTGACTACATTATGTTATACTTTTTTTTTACTAACAAAGACAACTTATGGTGAACTTCACATTAAATTTCCATACATCTTGGATTGACGAAAAACAATATTATCCATTTAAATCTAAAAAACCTCAAAAATATTGATAACTAAAAATTGTCAGTATGTTTTGAAAATTTGATCACATATATAAAATGTCATTATTAGTGGAGTTATTAGTATTCGGTAAAAATGTCAGGTTTCTCTGATTATTTCTACAACAAAAAAACTTAATCAAAAATTATGAAACTTTGATTGGCATAAATTTGTCTGGTTTTTCGATATTATTTTGAAAACTACCAGGAAAATCAAAAATATGGCCTTTCCAATGTTCAAACCAAAATCAAAATACAACAAAAATAGTTTATTATTTTTGGATCGAAGCAAAATTTCTAGTAAAAGTTCCTAACAGACAAAAAATTAAAAATCAACTCATAGTAAAACCAACACATTCTTTGCTACACTCAAAATCTAAAAGTGTCCAACAAATCAAGTATAAATTAATGTAATTTTTAAAAATTCCTAACTTACTTTTTTTCATAAAACGAAACTATTAATTAAGCATTTTAAATCCCTGTGTACATATTATATATACTTATAAATTTAATTTTAAAAGTTTCAAACTTTTTAGAATGGTATAAATATCCATATTTTAATCTACCTGTATATTGTTTTATTAAATTTATAACTTAAACAAATTAAAAAGTAAATTTTTTATTTTTTTCATCTGATTGATAAACTTTAATCCAACTTTATTCCTGATTATTATTAGCTGCAGTCATTAATGAATAAATAATATTAAGTTTATTATTACAAAGAGAGGTCAAATAGGTACCTATTTAGATATTCATAAATATTGCTGTGTCTATGAAATAAGAAATTAGAAACCATTGAAACTAATTTAATCGCCTGTCTTCAGTAAGTGTATGCATATTTTTAATAAAAGATTGAATTAATTCAAATGTATTCTTAATGAATATTTATTTTAAAAATTTCATATACATTACGCAAATGCTTGATGTATACAATTGATACTTTTCGGGTTTCCTATTCTTAGACCAAACGAGTAAATATTGATACCTATTTTAAAAGACTTAATCAATTAATTATTATAATTAGTGATCATGATAGCAAGTACTGCACAAAAAATAGTTGATAAGAACCCTTAGGCTTTACGCTCTATGACTTAAGCTCACTTTAAACTCAAACAACTGACTATAATAATGAGTACTGGATGAGTTGTACTTGATATCTTGAAAAATGGTTTAGTGTAGAAAAATGTTTGATATATTCAACGAGATTATTTCTATAGGTATTTTAATAAAATAAAATCAAAAACTTCACAATAAAAAAAAAATTGATTGAAATATAAATAAAAAGACTTAAAATATTGAACCAAGATAAATTGAAAAATAAGAATCTTGTCAAGAAATGCATTGATAAAATAAAATAAAGGTAGATGATAGCATCTACTCCCATCAACATTGTTATTTTACATAACTATTGTAATTTTGTTATTTGTGCATACTTCTGTTTCTCTTTAACCGTATGACCAAATGTTTCTTACAGTGATATTTCTTAAATATAAAATATATTAAGCTCACTGTGTTATCTTATATCTAATCCTATGACTAGGTTTTATAGGTTCCTATTTATAATACATTTAATAAATTATAAAAAATTAATACAAATTTATAAAAACCATATCCACCTATTTACTTTTGCATCTTACAAAAACAAAATATTTGACTTGTCTGATTATTGTTTTTACATTATTTTATAGTTAAACCAGGTGTTTATAAACCAATTGATGGTTCACAACCAGAAGCTAATAAGGAATTAAACGAAAAAGTATCTCTACATCAAGGAGATATTACAAAATTAGCAATTGATGTAATTGTTAATGCAGCTAATTCATCATTACTTGGTGGAGGTGGAGGTAATTTTATATTATTATTAAAATTGTACAATAAACAATAATTTTATATGTATTTATTGTTTGTTAATTTATAGTTGATGGTGCTATTCACAAAGCAGCTGGCCCTGAGCTCAAAAGTGAATGTGCTAAGTTAAGGGGTTGTGAAACTGCTAATGCTAAAATCACTAAAGGATATCGACTTCCAGCAAAGTGTAAGTAATTGTTTTGAACAAATGCCTTAAAACAGTGTGGTCCATAAAGTCTTTTCTGGACAACATTTTTTTGAAATTATCTATTTTCTAAATGAATATGTTAATTATTGAGGTAAAAAATAATTTGATACTTATGGTGTTTTTTTATTTTGTGTCAGTAAAACAAATTATAAATTTCATAGAATGTCTATTTATGTAGCTTCTTTATTATATATTACACACACATCATGGTCTATTTTTTGTAGTCTGATCACTAGTCCAAAATCCCTAAAGGTGTGATTCCTTAGTGACGCGATGCTAATACGGCGTGACTCAAATTTTGGCTGCGCTGGGACTTCTTTACCTATTTTTAGATGTAGCCGATTCCCAACACTACGAGGGCTATGTCCAGCTATGACCACTTCAGAAGCAGTCAAGACGCAGTCACCTTTTCAAAATTCAATGTGTCTTCAAAAATAATCTGAAAAGTTGTCAGAATTTTTTCTCATCTCTAAACAAATGTTTCTTGATTAAAATACTAAAAAATCCATTTTGATGTAATTTGATCAATAATAATTTCTTCTTCTTTTATTTCTTCTAATAGCAGTTTAATCAAAACTTTGTTTTTTTTTAAAAAAACATTGCTCAAAATGATTATTAGTAATCAAAAATTAAATAATCACTTGTGTACTCAATACAAGATACAACGCTTTAATAATCCTATAATCATTGTACTTATATGACTGAAAACCCAAATGCGCATTTTGTAGTTAAAAGAATCAACAGTCAGTCGAGCCGCGCTGATTGTGCGTCACAAATTTATCATGAACTAGGTATAAAACTGAATAAAAAATTAACTACGGTGTATTTTGCTAAATTTGCAGTAATAAACTACTATGTAGGTACTACAGTCTATATGTAGGTCCATAAGCTATACGTTTAATACATTTAATGTTTAAGCCGATAAAGAAAACAATAATAATTCAATATAACCATTTAGTCTGTATTCCTGGTTTTTACATTTATTATTATTAATAAGTTATTAATTAAATTAAAATATAATCGTTTATTTATAATGTAAATTCCATAGCTAGAATAATTGCAAAAAAAAAAAAAAAATACAAAAAATTGGTTATAAATTGGTTTATTTGGAATCAAAATACCATGTAACGAATTTATGTATAAAAATTAAATTTCTATCTTGTATATAAAACAAAGAAGTATATGATTTAAAATCTGAGCCCTAATTATAAATAATAATTTATTTTTCACTTACAAAAACATTATTCGCATAACTCCTGCAAGCTTTCTGTATACACAGATATCCTATTATTCAACCAGTACTTATATTTATCAATTGGCCATCCAATTCCTAGGTTTCAATGGCATATAAATACTTTTGTAAACATTTTTTATTTATTTTATTATGAATTGAAATTTTAGATGTTATCCATACAGTTGGTCCAAGAGGAGAACAACCAGACATACTACAAACAGCCTATGAAAGTTGTTTGGATTTAGCTGTTGAAAAAAAACTGAGAACAATTGTAAGTTACATTGGTTAAGTGTTAGAAGAAAAATTGTAGTTTTTAATTTGATTTTAGGCTTTTCCTTGCATTTCAACTGGAGTTTATGGTAAATATTGCATACCATTTAGATTAACATTGTACAGGGTTATTAAAAACTTTTTTAATAAAAAAAATATGTTTAGGTTATCCACAAGAAGACGCAGCCATTGTCGCATTGAAATCTATAAGAAACTTTTTGGAACATGATCATAACTTGGTAAATCATAATAACTATTATATAAATGTATATTTGTGTTTAGATTAATTAATTATAGAATGTTATTATTTAAATGTGCATAGTTTACACATTATACACCTGATAAGACCTGATTTCACATAACAGCTGATTCATATACATTTTGAGAATATGACTTTTGTATCATGTACAGATCCTACTCATATGAGTTTGAGAATAGGGTCTCTGGTAGAAAACATAAGCCATACAAATTTAAAATAATAAAATTGATTCTGTAAATTTGGTTGTTTTCATTTTTCATTAGTTTCTAATTATTTTGAAAACCAATTTAGATTATCAAAAAATGACCTCCTTTAAGTACCACTCAAATAAAATTTCAGTTCAGCAAAGTTACTACACATGAAAATCAGAGCAAGATTTCTAGTAGAAAAATCATTTATTGATAACAAAAAAAAAATCAGTAATAAATCAATACATTTCTCACTTTGCTCAGAATCTAAAAATTATAAAATGTTTGAACACTTACAACCCTTAGTTGGTTATGTATTTTTTTTTTAATGTTATTTTAGGTTGCAAATTATTTTTTCTCTTAATCTATTTAAAAATTTACCCTAATAGCTAACCATACAAAATAAAATGTTTAGATATTTTTCTTCTATGACAATTTGTTTTATATTTATTATTGAATTGATTTATAATATGTTCATTTCTATAAATAATTTATTGGAACAAAATTTATAATCAATTATATTTTAATTATTTATAAAATGTGTTAATCAATTCTTCTTAACTTTTGATTATAGATCCTGGTTTTATAATTTGTGTAAAGCCTTTATATGTTTTTATTTCTAACTGATGTTCTAGAAGTATTAGTAGTGTAAAAATTAGGGTTAAGGATTTTAATATTTTCTATGCCTAAAATTGAAGATGTTCCAGGTACATTATTAACAAACCGGTACCAAGTATTAGCTGAATAATAATGTATATAAATACCGTGTACCAAGTAGTAGAGAATTGATATTGGGTACTCAGTTAAGACTCAATGGTTGGATACCGAAACATCCCTACCTAAAATGTTCAATATCTTTTTATTTTATCTATAAATTTAACAGAAATCAACTAAACTGATTATGTTTTAAGTTAATTCAACTTTATTTTAATATTCTAACTAGTTATTGGATAATTTTGCATCCTGTACCCTTTATTGAATTATTAATATAATTTTATGCTGTTTGAATGTGCTTAGATTAGGATTGTTTGTCAAAGTTGTGATATTCATACTTTTGTATTATTTGATAAGATGAACTATTATAATATTTTTTTTGTTTCAGATTGAACGCATTATATTCTGTGTGTTTCTTGATTCAGACAAAGAATTTTATGAAAAATATCTGCCATTATTTTTTCCTGTTAAGTAATAAGATTTCAAAAAATTAAACCATTAAAAAGCAGTAAAAAACTGATAAGCATAATAACTTTTGATTTGATAAATACCTATTATGTTTTGCCTTTTGATTTATTTATAAATTTTTTTTTTTTTATGATTATATTGTAGTGTGATTAATCTATCATGTTTATTATATTGTAACATGAAATAATTTAAATATACAAATTTCATTTAAAAAAAAAAAAAATGTTAGTAACCACTTGAACATCTGACATCTATACAATATTATACACTTGAGTTCACAATAGTTTATAGCTGGAAAGAAAAGAAAATTCTAAGAATTTATAGAATACTTTACAAGTCATTAACCTACAATATTTATTTTAGTAAGTAAGTAAGAAAGATTATAATGGTGCTGTTGTCTTCAATGATGGCTTTTTCTGGATTAGCTAGTACTTTATTCATTATATTCAGGGTTGAGCAGTATCAAAGATACAATTGTATCATGTCGATTATTTCGCTAATAGGTACAAGATAATTTTACTGTAAAAATATTTACTGAATAATACCAAAATATCCAATTTTGTTTTGCAGAACACTTAAAACTTAAAATAAATGTAATAATGTTATAAACCTAAAACTTGTGAGATAATTTGAAAACATATTAATCTCCAAATCTAAAATAGGTATACGGCTGAATACCTATTTACTCTTACAGTCATACAAATAAGAACTAAACTAGAATTTTCATTCACTTAAAATATGAATAACTGTATAGTTAGAAACTTAACATTTTCAAGATGTTGAAGATGATGGAAGTAATGTGCAGGCATTTATTCTTCCTCATCATTTAGGATGTACTAGCCTTGCAAATATAACTATCCTAAGTATTTATCCATCTATAAAAAAACTGTTTATAAAATATAATACTAGTCTGTATTCATCTGCTTTTGTCGAGCGTTTTTTTTTTCATTTGCTAGTTTTGTGTACTCACTCAGTAGATGTAATCGACAAAATGTTAGAATAATTAATTTTTCTTAAAGCCAATCAAGATTTTATTTCTAAACAATTTTTATTATTGACTATTGCATTAACACATTATTAATTATGACTAAAAGTTATGAGTTTATGATATTAATATTGAATGATATTATTTATATATAAATGTATAGTGTACCTATAGCTTATAGGCGTTTAATAGTTAATAAAAAGCAATTAAAATATAAAATATGGCGTATCAATGTATCTTATATCTATATACAATAAATGCATTTATCATGATACTTTGTTTGAGTACCTTGCCCAACTCTGGAACTGAATTATTGTGTACTCAAGAATCTTTCTTGGATTCCATATGGCAGTTATCACAAAACTTATTTGTATTTATACTTAAATACATGAAAATAATTAACACAAAACAAATCCTATAAATATACAACAAAACTGAATGAATTCATAATTATATTTTAGTTCTCTGTTAAAAATAATTTGTGTAAAAGAAATGTGGCAGCACACCACAAAAGCACATTGCCTTGGTTAAATACCTATCGTATAATATAAAGGTCCGTTCTTACAATGTCTTATTAAATGGCTGTAAAAGTGTCTGTTACAGTAATCCATTCTTACAACCTTACGATTATATCCGCATCTACTGTCTCAGTCCAACTACCAGGTAAGTAACATGCAAAAACAATGCTTCCATAGAATAAGTAAAACTAACTTAATTTTGATTATAGAGTAAAAGTACCCTATTTTGTAAAAATTAATTTATAAAATGGCTATCTTGAATTATAAATACAAATTTTTTTATTGAACAATTAAACTTTTAAAAAAAAAATTATTTCATTTGTCCAATAGTCCAGTTAGATCCTGTACATTGCAGGTACTTTTTAAAGTTTCATTGAATAAATATTATTATCAGTCTTTCGTTAATAAAAGATTCATAAAATCTGGTAGTCAAATATTATAAAACTAATTGATATAAGTGTTATAATCATTAATGTAGTTTCTATCATTATAGAGAGAATTACATAATATACCTATACACCTACCTATATAGGTAGCAATATTTTTCTCAAAAGATAAATATATTTTGGAATTTATTGGGCTAGAGAATTTATTGAAAAGGCTTGCATAGTATGAAAACTGTTTGAAAACTAATAATAATTTTTTTTAAAAAGTTAATGTTGATCAAATGAAAAATCGGTGAGAGAAATCTACTACTAGATAGGTAGGTACCTATTTACATATGATATTTACCTATTAACATTTGGTAAACTAAATACATACCTATTATATTACAATGTACAATATATTATATTTTATTTAGGGTTTAGTTATTATTAGGTCTTCTTACTTTGTCAACAATATGCATGTATATGAATACATTATATTATGGTAAAATAATTGCATCTGCATTATATATTTTTTTTAATAATATTTGTCTAATATTGTACCTATTTTTGGTTTTCCCCATTTATTGGGAGAATAATAAAATTACTTCCTTAAAGTACCTCCCCAATCAGATTTCCTTTTAGAAAAAGTACTATAGTTGTAAATCGGAGAAAAATTGCTGGTAGAAAAGTTGTTCACAGGATTAAAAAAGGCCATAATATTATTTTACTAATACCTACATTCCGTACAGTTACCTGATTTTTCACATTTAGATTAATTTCTATTAATTATAATTATAATTTTTTTTTTTTTCTGTATTGTTAACGACATGAGTTTTAATATAATTATTTTATTACTAAGTTTTGTGGACAATTTGTTCACTTTCTTGAAGTTAGTTTATACATCAGATAAACAAAATAAATAAATACATTTAAATTGTTTATAACTATAAACTATTTTATTTTAAAAGACACAGTTTAAATTAAATTATTTTTAATAGTTGGGTAAATATACTTTTGACATTTCACGTATTGACATCAATCATTGATGAAATATGTATTTTTTACTTTTTACATTAATACACTATGCACAGTGGGCAAATAAAGCATCAACTATTTAGATAACTAATTTAAATATTTATTACAACCTATTTTTTTCCTCAATAGGTACCTCATTATCGTTTTTCCTCGGTTTCCTTAGATAACTAGGTACTTAATTTTGTAGACACGAGTATTGTGTACATATGGTCAATTTGTAGCCGATAGAAATAGCGGATTTTCAACACATGAAGTTTGAACTTTTATGTAGATAGGTACATTTATATCTATGCCAAAACCTCTAAGTATAGATTTCAAAAAAAGGAAGAACTGATTTTACTGATGTGTGGGCCATACTATTAAAAGTGAAAGATTCGATATGTAGTTTATAAATATATGTCTACGCAACGGTAAATTATTGATAACAAAAATAACGAAATAATAACAATGAATTGATACTGGGGACGGGTGTGCCACTGTTGTAGGTGTCGGGAAGGTAGAACGGATAGAAAACAGAAAACGATTTGGAGCAAAGTCCGGTTACACATATTTTAAAATAATGAAATCGTAACTCCGTATACTCCGTTCATTTCTCAAATTTCGCAGTTTTTTACATTTTTTTTTTTTTTTTTTGAAAAATTAAAAAATGACCTTCCTAAAGTACCATTCAGATAAAATTTATTTTCAGCAAAGGCACTACTCATGAAAATTGAATCAAGATTTCTGGTTGAAAAGTTGTTTACAAACAGAAAAAATTAATAAAACACAAAATCTTAGTAAGACCAATAGATCTTCGCTAAGCTCCGAAGTTTGATGAAAACTTTTCCGTTTTTCCTACGTTTTTTCACAATTATTAAGAAAAGTCCAATGAATGAAAAATCCAAAAACGATTTTCGGTACCTATAAACGTGCCGTATGCTATGTACCGGCGTATTATGCTTTATGCAAAAAATGACTAGTACTATTATGTCATATGCTATCTACGCTAAGAAATGTATTCTTAACATAAGTATTTAAACAATTTCATTGGAGCTTTGCAGTTTTAATTAAAATTATAATCGTCTGTATGTGGATCATGAAGTTCTTGTTCGCTATGGTTAACAGTTTGGTGAAGAAAATTTTGATTTTTTGAAGTGCTGCGTGCTCTCCGCTCATCTGAATTTGGTACCTAACAACCCACGTTATTTCACAAACTTAACACAAGATCCATCGTTAAAAATAATGTTTTTGTATAAATCACACAAATTACGTTTAACCAGCACCGAACACATACCAGACCACGAAGCATTTTACACGAATACAACCGTAACAATATAATCTATTAAAGACAATGAATACAATTTGTTGTGCATTGTTATCAGTGGCGGTTTTACGGGGGGATCCGGGGGGTCTGGACCCCACCGCAGACACCGTGTTTAGACTTTGAATTAGTTGGTCATTGAAAATTAAAAAAAAAAAAAATGAAAATAATCGGCAAATTAATACGAGTTGTAATTCAATTTTTATACACGTCGTTGATACATTACATTGGAAAATATTTTATTACGCATGATAATATATGTTATACATTTATCGAGTGGGAAAAACTGGAAAATTTAAGTAATATATTAGTAAAATATTACGGTCATTTTTTTGCTATGGACAACCTTTCTACTCGCAATTTTGCTCAGATTCACAATGATGGTGCTTTTTCTGAAATTAAATCTGACTAGGAAGATAATGTAGGGAGGTCATGTTTCATGTGCGTTTACCAAAGATATATACACATACATATAATGAATAATAATGAATAATAATGAATAATAATTATAACAAATGCATGTTACAAACTATATCTCGTATAAGAGTGTGTTAACAATAACTGTGATTTGTTGTTACACATCACGTCCTTTTTTAATTTCCTCATGAACTTTCTCAACAAATGGGAAAAAATCAGGAATATATTGGAAAATGTACGAAATAGGTACAAGCATCGATCAAAAGTATGCACTTATCTAAGGTATATGGAGTAGGGGTAAAAGAATTGAAAATGATTTTAAAATAAAACCTATAAGATTCCATAAAGATTAGAAAAAATAGAAATCAAATTCGCATAAAATCCTCAGATAATTGTTGGTTCACGATAAAAAAAAAATCACCCTGTAGTGTATAAAATAATATGGTTTATTTTTTTTTTTTTTTATTACGTAGGCGTACACCTAATATGATTCAATCATATTATATTTTTATTCGATTTGCTATTTTTCATGTCCGACCGGGATTTACTCTTGATGAAATTGTGGCGATCCTAATTAAAAAAAAAATGGTCATTTTTCGATTGGAGGATGATTTCTGGTAGGTAACAAGTAAAAGTTGTGAACAGAAAAAAAAAAAAAAAAAATGAAAATCGATTTATCGCGGTTAATTGGCTTCGCCCGTGTAACCGGCCGGTAGACGCATTGCACGTTCGATATCTCGTACCTACCCAGGGAAACGTTATCAGTTAGCAGTTGAGAACACTATGTGTCCGACGGGATCGCATTTTCATCGTTTTATCGATCCGTTACCGACAACCAATTATTACTACGGTGTCCGGCGTCCGTGCAGCGGAAAAACGATGAACGACGACGACTGTCGCGCCATCACCGTCGTCCGTTTTCCGTCCCGCAGGGTCGTCCTCGCTGTAGATTGATTACAACAACGCGTTGGGTAATACTTAAATATTTCTGTATGTTACTTGTTGTATTTATATTTATTGGGCAGGTACTCAAAAGAGGACTTGTGCGCCGAATCGCCGTCATCACGCCATAAATCGATCACCGTGCACTCGGCTTCGTTTCCGTCCGTCGCAAACATGTCGCGGGATTACTTCAACTTGCGGTTCGTGGTCACGCCGCCGACGTTGTCTTTTACGAAGTACAACTGCGTCAAAGAACAGGGCAATCAGGTAAGTGATTACTCACGCGATTAGGTCGGTTGTTTATCTATGTAGGTAGGTATCTACACTACAGTGGCGTGTCCGGGAATTTTCAACGGGAGTGTATGTAACAAATCAAAAAATCGTGAAAAAGAGTGAAATCGTCTTCCCTGCCCAACTCGACTATGAGAATTGTTAACTTAAAAGCCGAATACTAAAAAAAAAATAAGCAAAGCCAATTTGCCTAATAAACACAATTAGCTTTTTCTCGGAAATCGGCCGAAATTTATGAGTTTCGATATTAGATTATTCATATTTTGTTGTATTTTTAAGACAATGGGGGGGATATAACCCCTGACCTACCCCTCTGGGCACGCTACTGCCTATACAGTACACCAGTGGCCCGACGAAGTAGATTTTTTTCAAAGCGATTACCAGCTGGTGACTAAAATGGATGGGTGGGTGAGTAACGAAATTTGTTGAATTCTGATTAAGATTAACTTCTTAGTTCAGAGGTCGGAGATGTCTTTAGTTTTGTGTATTATAATATTAATATACCTACATACATATAAAAATCTATATTATGTAGTAATTTAGCTAAATAAGACTTGCTATGAGACAAATTATTTATAACATAAAAAATCCATTTTTGTAATGGACGTGTCATAATTTTTCCTCAAGTATAAAAATGTTTAGCACACCACTGCAATACAAACTGCACTGCTGTTCGCGATGGCTGAACAAAACAAGTGCTGTGGTACACACTGAGCGAGCTTAATAATTAAGTCGGGTTTTCGGAGCTACTCGTGATGCATTTACTTTCTATAAGGTTATATAATACTTATAAACATAAGTAATCTTGAAATTATACCTAAATGGGCACCTATAAGATAATTTCCAGAATAAGGATAAACTAGTGCCAGGTTTCCTAACGCGCATTTAAAGACTAATTTATAGAACATGATGGATATAAGAATACAAAAATGTTATGATAGTTTAATTACAAAAATCATTAGGCTGTGTCGTGCATTAAGGCTTAATAAAAAATATATTTGTTTGTGTTTCTTAATATTCTCCGAGAGGGATATGTCCCTCTCTTGCTCTTCCCTCCTCCTCAATAGGTACCCATTGTTACCTGTAGAACTCACTTTATAATATTTCGAATAAATTAATAAAAAAAAAAAATTTGATTAGTGTAAACTTGCCTTCTATTTCATTTATTGTGATTATTTTTTCTAGTCTATACTACCTTACCTTAAAGAATATTAATTGTAGGTACCTACTTAATTTTAATAATAATTAATTTGCAGTTTGGATTTTTGATCGGCGAAAGAAAAATAAAAGTATCAAATATAATTACTGACGAATCATTGAACAACACCATAACCGAAGAAACAATATGTAATACCTTCTAACAGTTTTATAACAAACCAATTATATTGTTACTGTATATTTTAAATATATATTATTTTATTTTAGGTGTTCATTCATCTTTTCCACTTGTAGATTTTGTTGACTCATTGTGCTCCAACCCTATGCAAATAGATTTAAAAAAATTGAAAAGCTTTTTGCAAAAATGTCCTGGAAATTACGAGGTATACCAACAGAAAATAACTTATTTTTTATTGACAGTGTTTGATTTTAGTACTTGTCTAAATTCTACTCATTATTATTTTTTAGAAATCCATAATTGGATGGTACAGATTCCGAAAAAACTCTGTTTTGACTCCCAGTATTTCTGATATCCGTTTTCATACTCAGCTGAGTACTTTTTTTGACAAAATAAGTATTCAATCAAACAAATTTCTGTTGTGCATGTTCAACCATAATTTCGCTAATAACTTGGATCACAACTTCAGTCATATATTTTACAGATGTGAAAACGGGTAAATAATTGAAAAATAATTTATTAAAAATTTATCATATAGTTATAATTTATTATTGTATAAGTATCACAGAACTTTAAAAACAACTAGATAGCAGACTCTATTATAGGTTTTTTTATTACATAGTTATTGTTCTGATATTACAGAGTGTGATTTTTAAGTAAAGAGACTTGCTATATCGCGTTTTCCAGTGATAGGGGATCCAAGCTAACCTAACCTAAGCAACCTTCAAGCTCGTACTCAGTGTGCATCTGTGATAGTACGGAGTGCTTACGTTCACCTGGGGAAAACGCTCGCAGAGACAATTTCCATCATCAATTAGGCCTTCAAAAAAAAAAAGCTCTATTCAAAGCCCAAGTGTTTCACTGGCACAGCGACTTTCGGAAAGGACAAGAAACTGATGAAGACCAGATGGCAATGTAGCAAAAGTCAAGAATCTGATAGACACAGATTGTCAGTTATCCTTAAGATTAATGGCTGAGAAACTGTAAATGAGCTACACATCAGTAAGCAAGATTGTTGTACACGATTTAAGGATGCCAAAAATATTACCATGGTTGCCAGGGGTCATTTGCAGCAATACATTAAAGCAGGAGAAGAGTATTTTGAAAACTTTAAGTTGCTGTGTATCGATAAGAACAATAAAACAATGTTTCCAGATCCATTCTCATTACTTAAAAATCACTTCTTGTATAACAATAATAAATAACATAAAACTTTTGAATCTATGAGGGCGTACCCAAAAGAAACCGAACTGATGTTGTGTGGGACAGAGTTTTAGTAGTACCGATTTTTTTTCCGGTAGGGGCGTATAAATATACTTCTCAACATTCAATATGGCAACAACCATCATCGTGGAAGGTTGTGTTACGTTGGTGTGATATTTTTTTAAAAGTAATTTTTCGTACTTGTCGTTTTTGTAATGGCTGATTTGCGTGAACAGCGCGCGGTCTTCAAGTTTTGCTTCCTGCTCGGGAAAACAGGCACAGAAACCCTTGAGATGTTGAAAACAGCTTACAAAGGTGATGATTTAGGGAAAACTCAAGTATTTAAGTGGTTTTCCCGTTTCGAAAGTGGTGAAATGTCGATAGACGACCAAGCTTGCTCCTTCGACATCGCGAACCAACAAAAATGTAAAAAAAATTCACAAAATTATCCTGGAAGATCAATGGCAAACCATCGAAGAAGTAGTGGAGAGATCTGGTGTGACATGGAGTTCAGTACAGAGAATTTTAAGTGAAGATTTGGGGATGAAACGGGTAGCTGCAAAATTTGNGCGGCCGTCAAGTTTTGCTTCCTGCTCGGGAAAACAAGTACAGAAACCCTTGAAATGTTGAAAACAGCTTACAAAGGTGATGCTTTAGGGAAAACTCAAGTATTTGAGTGGTTTTCCCGTTTCAAAAGTGGTAAAATGTCGATAGATGACCAAGTTCGCTCTGGACGTCTTTCGACGGTTCGAACCAATGAAAATGTAGAAAAATTCACAAAATTATCCTGGAAATCGACGGCAAACTATCGAAGAAGTAGTGAAAAGATCTGGTGTGACATGGAGTTCAGTACAGAGAATTTTAAGTGAAGATTTGGGGATGAGACGGGTGGCTGCAAAATTTGTTCCTCGACTGCTAACTGAGCAGCAAAACCAAGGCCGCGTGGAATCATGCTCTTCTTTGAAAGAAGAATTCCAAAATGACCCAAACTTCTTTTCCAAGGTTATTACAGGTGACGAATTATGGTGCTATGGATATGATCCTGAAACCAAGCAACAATCGAGCCAATTGAAGACTCCAGCATCGCCTCGCCCTAAAAAAAGCTCGTCAAGTGAGGTCAAACATTAAGACAATGCTCATTTGTTTTTTTATGTGAGAGGAGTCGTCCATTCAGAGTTTGTTCCACCTGGTCAGACAGTTAACCAGGCATTTTACCTAGAGGTGTTAAAAAGATTATACAACAGTTTGAGGCGAAAAAGACCTGATTTGTGGCAGTCAGGAGACTGGTTTTTTCATCACGACAATGCTTCTGCTCACACAGCCCTTTCTGTACGGCGGTTTTTGACCAAAAATGATATGACCACTGTGTCCCATCCACCCTATTCACCCAACCTGTCTCCCTGAGACTTCTTTTTATTCCCCAGAATGAAAAGGAACATGAAAGGAAAGCGTTTTGCAGACATTGATGAAGTTATAAAAAAATGACAGAGGCGTTGGCAGGCATCACAAAAGATGAGTTTAAAAAGTGCTTCGAAAATTGGAACAAAAGATTGGACATGTGCATTAACTCCAACGGAGAGTACTTTGAAGGAGATAATATGTTTTTTGTAAAAAAATTAAATAAATAACTTTGTACAAAAATAGTTCGGTTCTTTTGGGTACACCCTCGTATCAACCATTATACTACCTAATTGAATATTTATTTATTATAATAAAAGTGGATATATTAGTTACTATTTTAACTTAATATAATTGAAACCCAGTGCAACTATATGTGCAACTCTTAATTGTAACTCTATATATGAAAACAATGTCCGTTTCTTAAAGGTACAGTTTCCTAGGTGCAACCTTTTATTGTTCAACTGATTTCCTAGATCGGACATTGATAAATTATAGCTGTATTCTGCAGTATTTGTGAACTATTTGTACTGTGATGATGTTTGTATTTTTGTTTTTTAAGTTAAGATTTAGAAATGATTATTATAAATAATAACAAAATTATTTTACTGTTATTTGAGAAAGAAGAGGACAAAGATTAATTACACATGATAAAAAGAAACAAAAATAGACAGCTTATTTCTGGATAGAAAATAGAAGCCTTATGAATGTTGTTTTTATATTTATGAAGATTGATTAGAAAGGTCATAAGTAGGTCTATTTTTTCAATGAGTTCTTCCTCATTAAAAATTTTGTTACATTTTATATAATTTTGTGTCATAACGTGTGACCGATTGCAATACATTGCTCTCGAACTGGTACTGTTACTGATCACAACGAAAAATTGTCCCATTTTAGTGATTACATATAGGAAATCAGTCTGTAGGTTTTAAGTATTACCAGTGTGGCTGCGACCACTGCGAACTGTACCTTAATTAATCTAATGGCTGGTCAATAATCTGGTATTATCAAGGATGAACTCAGATAGACCATATTGGAAAAACCATAAATTTACAGAAAAAGCTACTCCATTAGTACAATATGCTTTCGGGAATTCGTTCGATCTGGTTGCTAATCACAATTTAAGAAATCAGATTAACTAAGGAAATGTGTATTAAATAAATATATTCTATATCAATGTTAACATAATATTTGATCTGAACATTGCCTGTGTAGAAAATGGCTCATTAGAGATGAAATTGAGTTGGATATCTAGTTGTTGTAAAGTTATATATTATATGCATTCTGAATGTTACATTTTATTCATTAAGAAAAAACATGTAATATTATTTTAATGTTTTATTAGAAAAAGTTTGAGCCCCATAAAAGTGGATATTGTAAACATGAGTACAAAACCATTTATTGAAAAGGAAAATGTGACCCTGGAATATAAAACAAACATTGATTTAATCCAAAACTGTAAATCATATAAAGATGCCAAATTCAAAGTATTCGGAGAGGGGTAAGTCTATTTTTACATAATATAATAAGGTATATTATATTGTTTTATTATTATATTAATTTGTTGATGTTAGTAACTTTTATATTTTTTTTCTTTACTTTTATACAGTGTTATTTTAGCTAAAACCTTTATTTATACTTTATAAATTAAAAATATTTTAACGTTTTGTATATTCCCCTTTTTTTTTATTTTTCATAATATTTATGCATTTTTTTCATAGAAATCTTACATTTAAAAAAAAAAAAACAAATATATGATGGATGAGCCACTGTTGTAGGTGAGAAGTTAGGAAGGTAAGGTTAGCAGCAATTAATCATTACTGAGAAAAAACAATTTTGAACAGAGTTCAGATCTGTTTTTATTGGCCATAATTACTATTTTCATCAAAATTCTTATATCCAAAAAATTCTACATTACACTCAATATTTTTCTTTTGACCACTGAGTTCAACTTGTAATGTTGAATTTGTAATGACCTTCCTGTTAAATTTTCAAGCATTTCTGTTAAGTCAAACAATTTTATCAACAGAGTACTTACTTAATAAAATGTATGTATAAAATTTACAAAATTGAAATGTATAAATAGCTTAAATATTTTGAACATTTTATCACATTAGAAAAGCCATGTGTACATTTTCTGTCCAAATTTTAAAAATGTTCATCTCTAAAAGCATTTTTAACTGAATTACAACAAAAAAAAAAAATTGAAAATATTAAAAGCATTGTTTTCATAAATTTTTCTGTTTTACTGCTTTTTCATGATTTATCTCAATTATTATGGTAAATTAAAAAATGAGTTTCCTAAAGTTTCAACTAGATAACATTTAATTTCAAAAGACATGATATAGTTGAAAATTGAAGCAAGGTTTCTGGTAGAAATTTGTGAATGAAAGTAAAAATGATAAGAGATACTCCCTCTAAGGTGTGTAACTTTTATTTTTTAAGTTACGACTTAGTAATTAAAAGAAACTGTACCTACCATCCATTTTTGTTATGTATCATCAAAACTTTTTAACTAACAAACTTATTATTTTTTTTTTTAACTATTCTAACTGCTGTTCTATCAACCAACATTCACAATTCAAGCTAAAAATGTATACATTATTTTTAATAAATTGAAAAAGTTAAAACTTATCAAAAAATTATATTTTAAAGAAAAAAAATCAAATGTTTACTCCAAATAATTTACTATTTACTACAGTTTTTTAATTTTATTTTATTACTCTACTGTAATATACTTGTACCTACAATGCCTTAAAAGAAAATCTTTTTTCTCATATAACAACCTCTCTTTTTAAAAATCAGTTATTTTGAATAAATAATAATAAATCATTATAAATTAAATTAGATAATAATTTACATACATTTTTAATGGTCAAACCACATTTCTAAGCCCAAAATTAGCTGATATGGGCATTTTAAATTGGTTCTGTGCAAAAATATTTCATTTAAATTCTCTAAAAAACTTTTTTGTTTCAGTATACATTGTTTATTCTTTCACAAAAATCACATACAAATATATTTTTTTCAAAAAACCAATTAACCATTAAATGTTTTGATGTATTATAATTATTTTTCTTAGTGATCTTAGAAAATATAAATAAATTTGTTTTCACTTTCAAATGTCTTAATTTTAATTTTCAAATTACATTTTATTATACATAGTAGAGAAATATGAAAATATAATTTTTTATAATTTATAATTGTTGAAAATTCTTTCTATTTTGATAATTTTGTTTTTACTTTATTATTTTATTATTCTGTATTAAGTATTATGGAGAATAATACAAAATTGTTAATTGTTTAAATTTATTTTGAAAGTTACATATTGTAGGTCCCATGATAATTATTTTCATTTAAGGATCTTTGTTTTAAAACAGACACAACCTAAGTCCAAGAATATCAGTGTACAAGTTCAACAGCGTTTTGATTGAAGAAATGGATCAATTGATTAAAAGAATTGTGGACAATGAAGAGGAGGTGATCAGGCTAAACACACTGATAGCTGAGAAAAAAAAAGAGATACAGTTGAAGAAAATAAATAAAAAAAAATAATGTACTTAAACAAATTTTCCTAAGTGTAATAGTATTACATTTTCTCTAATTTATAATTTACTCTAACTGGACATTTATATGTTTTTTTTTCTGAATGTATTATTATTGATTCTATTTTGATGTATTGAACTATTACTATTTGTGAAACAAAAATAAAATATAAGTTACCTTTAAGTAAACTATTATATATTAATTATGATAGATTTAGCTTCCGCATAATTATTAGTAAAAATATGTCCTAGGATAATGGGAACTGTTATAGATAATTTTATGTGTACTTGTAAGCAAGGATAAACCATTGTTTAAAAAAAAATGATTTTGAGAGTTCAGTTGATAGTCATGCTTTGTCAGCAATATATATGTCATTTTATAGTGAAATAATAAAATATGGTTTATGCATTTTCTTTAATAATATTTGTTTAATATTGTACCAATTTTCCTATGTTTTATCCTGGTTTTTCAAATTTTATGAGAAAACTCAAAAAAATTGAAAAATGACTTCCCTAAAGTATATCTGTTAAATGTATCTAGTGCTACACTTAGAAATCTAAACAAGTCTTCTGGTAGAAAAGTTATGCACAGATAAAAAAAAAAAATCTTTTTAAAATCATAAGCTTCTTCACTCCACTCAAAATCTAAAATACACCAATAATATAGTTTAAATATAAGAAAAGTTAAAAATATGAACAATTTTTTAATTTATAAAATAATGATAGATTTTCTAGGTTATAAAATTGCACATACAATTTAAGCATTCATAAAAAAAATAATAAGACAACTAAATTTAGATATCAGATACATAAATATTAACTAAATTTTTTTTAAATTGTAATGTTCAGTAAAAATTAAAAAATGGTTATGTTCTAATACAGATTTTCACTATTTAAATATTAATTATTTTCTCAATCAATATTGAATACAATTGTATTTATTTAACAAATTAGTTACCAATACAAAAATTAAGTCCTCTGGCAATAATAAAAAGATTGGTTAAAAGTAACAATATTTTTTTTTAAAAAAAAAAATGAGTTTTAATACTTCTGAGAAAAATTGTACTTGCATGACTAAATACAAACACTTTACCAATCTATTTGGTAGCTGTAGTAGTTTGGTGGTTTTTTCTTCCTGTTATTATTCTATGTACAAAATGTTCAATGCCTATTTATGCTGATAGCAGCTAACTGTATACACATTGTTCATTGAAACAACTAAACCCAAAATGCCTCCTTCAAACAAACATGTAAAGGTATGAAAAAATATTTAAAAAAAGTATAATGTATGTATACTAAATTATGTGTATACTATTAAGGTTATTACATTATTAAATATAGTAAATAAATACCTATATTAATAAAAGATGTATGTATATAAATACAAATTAAATAAATGTGTAGCCTGGAGTATCATAATTAGTGTAGGTACACGACCAGTTTCAAATTATACCATAATACTCCAGGTGACGCATTCATTAATTTATTTACCAATATTAACCATTTTAATAATTTTGTTTTTAATTTATTATTTTATTTTACATTACTATCATAGTTTTATAAGTGTTTCAATATTATTATAATATAATAATCAAAATAATTTTTTCCCTTGTTTTTATAAATTATAATTCACTATATTACTGTGTTGTGGATATTGTTTCATTTGTCTCAAAGTGGGAGTCCATAAAAATCTGGAATTTTAAATTTTAAAATTCATACAATAACAGTATAGTAGATCTACCTAATATTTTTCGAAAAAGTTCAAACATTCGCAATGTTTACCAATTGATAAAATATACTACCTATGTAGGTAGGGTGAGCATGTTAAAAAAAAAAAAATGGGACAAACAATTTATGGTACTTTGAAAAAAAACCTCCACATTTTTTTTTTTTTTTTTACTTTCTATATTTTACTGTAACAAGATCATTTAAAAATAATTTATTATTTTAATAAAACATTTGTTTGTAATCAATTTTATTGTGACTTTAAAAAAATTGTCAAAATATTCTTATTTGTACAGGGTTGATATCAATGCTCATTGGTTTTTATTGAAATTGTCATTTTTTTTTTTGTTAGAATTAATTGCGTTTAATATAATTATTTTAGTTGTGCAAAAAAAATCATATAAACCATTACAAGAATATTTTTTAGAATCATAATTTCTTTGATAATATGATAGGATGGTATATTAGAAAGAGATTTTTTCAACCATCCATAACATATTGAAAATATGTTGTCTTCTGCATTAGTTTCAAATATAACTAGAGAATATTTTCCCAAAATTGTTGATAAATATATATTTTTTTCTCTGAAAGTGTATAAACACCACACCATTTTCTTTTTTTTCATTTTCTTTAATATACAAACACAATTATTCTGTCACTCTTTTAAATTGTCAATAATTTGTGATTTATTATGTCATTAATAAAATTTTACATGATTCTACTAACCGTAAAGATTATCTTCATCCGAATTTCCGTCAATTTGTTATTTAATATTTTGCTAGTTTTTCATTTACATACATTTAATAATATAGAAATAACGGGATTAAAAAGAGGCTATCCCCTAAAATTGGAGCAAAAGGCGTCCCGTTCGAAGTTCGTCGAGATAACAATGATGAAAAAAGGGACAATCACGTTTTAAACAGGACGGATAGCCACTCTATGTAGGTACCTATGCAAGCAAAACAATAAAATACAATATGTATTGAGTCTAATACCAGCCAGTTAAATATACAAACATACACTAATATTCATTTACACACGCATGCATTGATTTGAACCAGATGTAATTTCTTAAGAGAATCGAAAAATGACCTCCTTAAAGTACCTCCCCAGCCCGAATTCCTATCAGAAAGGTGCTGCACTTAAAAATCGGAGCAAGTTAATTGGTAGAAAAGTTACGCACAGATAATAAAAAAATAAAACATTTTGTAAAATCACAAATTCACTTCACACAGAATCTAAAATAAGTAACGTAAAATTATTTAAATAATTTTGTAATCTATAGATTAATAACAAAAAAAAAAAAAAAAAAAAACTATAATTATTATTTATTATAACGTTTTTGATTGTGATTTATGTATGGTAATACTAAATTTTATATTTCATTTTGTAATCAAACTAAACGCTATTTTATGAGCATATTTATGTGTCTTGAATATATGAATATCCAAAATAAATACAAACGAGTCTGAGACCTCTAATAATAATTGAAAAAAAAATAAATATGTTTTTATGATAAAAAAGATGTCCTAGGATAATGGAGATGGGTGCAGCCTAGGTGTTATACCTAGGTAATTTAATGTATATCTGTAAACAACAATAAACCATTACTAACAAAAAAACGATTCTGAGCGCAATTTGGTTAAAAGTGATGCTTTGTCAACAATATATATGTCATATTATGGTAAAATAATTAAATAGGCATTACATATTTTCTTTAATAATATTTGTTTAATATTGTACTGATTTTCCCGGTTTTACAATGTTCTTTTCCGGTTTTTCACATTTGCTGGGAAAATCGAAATCCCTAAAGTACCTTCCCAGTCAGATTTTCTTTCAGAAAAAAATCTATCATTTTAAATTGGAGCTAAATTGATGGTAGAAAAGTTGCACACAGAAAAAAAAGATCATAATATGAGTAAAATATAAGTATAGTAAAAATAATAAGTAAAAAATACTTATACCTACATTTCGTACATTTTCTGTTTTCCAGGCATTTTATCTCGGTTTTTCGCAGATATTATGAAAATTGTTTGAAAAATCAAAAAATGACCTCCCTAAATCACGCCAGAGATAAAATTTCCTTCAGAAAATAAGCTACACTGGATACATCTGAGCACGAATTCTGGTAGAAAAGTGTGCACAACAAATTGAGGGGTATTTTGTGATTAAAATAGTCCGAGTGAGCGATGGCTTGGGTCTCTAGGTACATCCAAAATGCATTTGTTTTACCTTGTTTAGGTAAAAGAGGAAAAAATGCTAAACATTTTTTTTTTTACATACTGGTTTGAATTCGAAACCCCTTGGATGATAATAAGTATAAGTAATCATTACATCACGACAATTATGCATTAAACAATATAGATTTATTTAACATAACATGTAATATTCGCATAATATCAAAACTTCAAAAAGCTATAATTTCGAAATTCAGTGAGTCCACCTAATTCTGACTTCACTATCCTTCTTAAATCGGCAATATACATATGTTCAAAAAAAAAAAAAGATTGAAAAATTAGATTTGTTCCACATAATTTTTTACTCAAACAATTTTCGTCAAAATTTGATATTAAAATTCCCTTATAAAAAAAAAAATACTACATTAATTCAATTTTTATTTTTTTTTACTACAAAATATGTCTTTTGTGAACCTTCTGTTAAATTTTGAAGCATTTCTGTTCAAGTTTTACAATTTTACCACAAAGTACTTAGTGAATAAATATTACGTAAAAAAAACTCTCAAAATTAAAATGTCCATAAATACCTCAAAAATGGCTGAAATTTTTTGGAAATGTTACGTCTAGAAAAGGCAATAAACGTTTTCTGTCCAAATTTCAAGTCTTTATGAATACTTTTTTTAACTGGATTTGTAAGAGTATAATACAGCTAAAAGTATATTGGAGACTGAACGGGGGCGGTATTATCGCTCCCCCCTGGATCCATCCCTGTACATAACACTAGTTAATAATAACAGTGCTATGTATATGTATATGTATCTAGGTAAACTAGATAGAATGCATAAGACATATTTTATATTAACCGTCCCGGTTACCACTAAGGCGTAATTAAAAAGGCAAGGTAGCATAATATTTACTTCAATTACTCATATTATAGAATTGCAATATTATTGAATGTTGCAAAATTTATTTGACTGAACAAATACAAAGGTTAAGTTAACATAATACTAAAAGATGTTAAAGATTAAAGTAAATACTTCAGTAGTTCAGTGCAATTTTTAGTGCATTGAGAATATGCTTATTAATATTAGCCATGTCTCTGGTTGAAATAGGTGTGCATCAAGAGTTCGCCTTGAGCTTTTACCTATTTTTTTTGCAATCATGGTAAATTTCCTTTACAACGAGTGGGAGAAAGAATTGGTCAGAACTACAGGGACGTGTTAACGGGGGTAATGGCGGAATTTGCCTGAGTGCCAAAACTTATCAAACTATGTGGCGTTTGACTCAATATAAAATTCGAAATAAAATTAACAATAGGTATCACAATTTTATTTTATCACTTGTCACTTTATCACTTGGTAGTTGTTTATTTTTAAACTCTTTACTTAGATTAATAATAAATATTTAGTAATATTAGTAGTTGGAAGTATAATCTAGAAGTGGCGGGGTGAACGGCGTTAAATTGACGTAGGTACAAGATACTTGAGGTACAATGTAGAAGACACTTTTTATTCTTTGGATTAAAATTTAAAAATCAAGAAAGTTAACATGCTGATATCTGATTTGGTAAGCGTTTTTTTTAATATTTTGTGTTTATATATAAATGAAGGTGGGTGAGTGGATGTTGAAAACTTTGACTGCGTCATTGAAATAATAAGTTCACGCCGCCACTGCAACCTAGTAATGCATAGTAAGTATCTAAAAAAAATAAATTAGTACTAATGAAGAACATGAAGTATGTCCATTTCTTTTTCTATAACATTATGTAATAAATACATTTATGGATTTAGCCTTCATAAAGAAAATAATAAAAATAAAATAAAAACTATATTACAATATTAATTGTTTAATATAAAAAAAATCAGAACAAGTTTTTGTTTTTAAAATAACGAAAGACTTTCTAGTGTATATAACTAGAATATTATAGACTTTTATTGAACAATTTTAAACCAAAGTTAAATCACATATAAATAATAACTAAATATTCTAAAATAAACAAAACCGGGAATCTCTTTTTTGTTATACTCTAAGGGCCAATTTCACTAACATTAACAAAGGCATCTATCTAATTTGTAAATTGAGTTTATGATTGATAACTGCTATAGATCAGTTATCTTATAAGATCAATTCCTTTATGTGATTGAGAACAGCCCTAAGAAATTAAAATATTAAATAGGTAATATATTATAATATAAAAAGTAATACATACTTAGTTACATACATAGTTAGTACTACATATTATATAGTACCATACACCATATATTATATTAGTAGATTTATTCTTACTCCTATTATTTATCAACTTTTTACTTTATCTTTAAACCAAGGCTATTTTTCATTAAAATGGAAAACTAGCTACATTAATCTTATTTTCAAAAAAGGCAAGAAATCTTCTATTACTAATTACTGTTCTGTTTCCATTATTTCTATTATTCCCAAATTTTTTTCAAAAATTATAAATTCAAAGCCTACCTCCTTATTTAAAAATATTCTTTCTACACAACATGGATTTCGCAATGATATATCTACCCTTGCTTATTTAGTTTTCATTAAACATTTTATTCTAGAGTCTTTTTCAAAGGGTGAACAAACTAATGTTGTTTATACAGACTTTGAAATAGCCTTTGATAGGATCAATCATAATCTACTCAAACTTAATAAAATTGGCTCGGCAGAACCTCTATTATGCTTTTTTGAGATTTGTTTTATCTATCAGTACGTATCTATATTCTACTATTATCCAATCAGCTATTTCCATAAACCTTATACGTTTAGATGGAACATTGTGTAGTTCACACCTGTCACGACAGGTATAACCTGTTTCAAAAAACAACATACCGCTTTCGTGACCAGTTTTCATTCGGCGGCTCGCATCCCCACCAAGTAACACTGGTCATGACCATAGAAATCTTAAAAACATCATTTTTTAACAATATGATCGAACCGGTGCTACTTGGTGGGGATGCACGCCGCCGAACGAAAACTGGTAAAAGCGGTATGTTCTCTTATGAAACAGGGTATAGCGTCCCTACCGAAGCATTACGACTACGCACATATGAATATAAGATGTAATCATATATTATTATTTTCCTATAGGGTACCTATTTACGTGACATAAAAATATATTGCAATGTGCATTATTATTATGTATTTGAAATAATTGTGATTTGAATACTTCAATATTATTAATTGTTTTTATTTTTAAATTATATAATAAGTATTGATAATAATTATTATAATTATAATTATTATTAATACATGCATAATAAAAATTAAATCTGAGTTTTAATTTTTACAAATTAACTTTTTACCGCCCAAATATAATTTATCCTTGGACCGTATTGATATTCATTTACCTTCTGTCAACGAAAAAATTAGAATTAAAATTTTTACTTTAAATACCTAACATAATATTAAAACTAATAGATACAGAACTTAAAGACAAAACAATATTATTATAACAACACTATCCAAATGATTTTTCCAAAGCATTACTAATAATAAAATATTATGATAGGAACAGTAGTTTTCCAGAAATATGTTCATTATGAATTATTTTTTTTTAACGATAGTTACAGCCAAGGGGTCATTTTCCAAATTGAAAATTATAAAAAACTATTTAAGGAATTGCATGAGGCAAGAACAACTCTCACATACCGTGCTGTTAAATATATAAGCTGGAGAAACAGAACTTATGAACGTTTTGCAACTTATTGATAACTTTGCAAATTTAAAAGTGCGTAAAGTTAAATTTTAATTGTAAAAAAAATTAACTGTTATTTGTTAATAAATTATAAATGTGTGTATAAAAAATATAAAAAAGTCTAATTAAATACACTATTAAGGAGATACTGCATACACCTAGTTTTATTATTTTATATTTAAACCGAATAAGAAAGGGACTCTTTAACTTTGTTCGCATTGGGGCCGAATTATTATAATTACACCACTGGTTCCATGCATAGAATTCAGTGATTTCAAGTGTTGAATATCAGTTTTAATTTATTAAAGTATACTCAGTGTCTTTCTGTTAAACTGTTCTTTAGATTTTTATATCTGTGATAAAAAACATCATATAAGTATATATTATAAGTTTTGTTATTTATTTGATATTACACACTTTGAGATAATTTAAAATACATAAAACAAAAGTATTAATATGTTGAATAAAAAGAAATATTATATAAGGCCAGGAGCGGAGTGGTTGGTTTGCAAAATGGTCTAGATCATATTTTTAATCATATTATTTAAAAGCTTAGTAAAAAGTTATATAAGACACATATTATATTATTATTTTAGTATCTACCTATTAAAATACATTTTCATTCAAAGTACATGTTACATTAAAATGTATATTGTTAAAATCACTTTTCTGAATTTTTTGTTTGAAACTACTTCCAATTGTTATCTTTACTCATGACTTAAGTAAAAATATATTCAATATCTTGGCTTTGCTACAAATTCAAGAACCATTTTTTTTTTTTTTGGTAGTTATGTATTGTTGTATTGGATGGCCTTGATAAATTTTAATTTTCTGATCTGAATTTGAGGCCCACTCCACCCCTGTGTTAGGATATATTTATACTAAATAATGATAGATAATAGTGACTAAAAAAACTTGTAGTACTAGTACACAGAATAATTATGATTAACTAATTCTACATTATTCAATAGGTGTCCATAGTCCAACAATTAGATGACAAAATGCAATCCATCTCCATTTGGAAATATTCATAACTCTTGTATTTAAGTGGAAGTTGTAGAATACAGGAACATGTGTGAGCTATAGGAGCATAATGATTATACCACATAAGGTCTGAAAATCTAACAACAATCTGGTTGTCGGTAATCACATCAGACCCTGTACAGAATCTTACAAATTTGAGCCGGAAGTCATCAGTAGTGGACTTGATAAACCTTGAAAGAGATAAAAAAAAATATTGAAAAATGTTACAATAACATAATATAATATTAATAATTTTAATAATTTAAATGTCAAGTAAAAAAAATTAATGATACTGCTAATATGCGTGCAACTGTTGTAAGTGGGGAGTTTGCAAGGTAGAACTCATAAAGTTATTTAATTTATATATGTACCTAATGATAAACCATTAGTGCATTATCAATATAAATCACACCAAACAAAATTAAAAATAGTGAAACCAAGTAGTGAATTCCCAGTAAACTTTCCAGTTTTCCTAAATTTGTCCTAATTATTAAGAAAACTACATGAAGAATAAAAACACAAAATGTTTATGTACTAACTACGAACAATATTCTTTTAAAAAAAGATTCTACTTTTGACATTTGAAGTAAGATTTTTAATAAAAATAAAAAAATGAAACTTATTAAAAAACTACAAGTAAAAAAAAATTGCTTTTAAAAATATGCTATATTTGAAAGTTAAAACAAGATTTCTGGTAGAAAAATTGTTTTCAGACAAAAAAAAAACGTGATCAGAACCTAAAATAAGATGTAAATACTTCATATAAAAATTGAAAATATACTTTTTAAGATATCCATAGATCTTTATCTCATTCTCGGTGGCATAGCTATACTCGCAAACTAAAATGTTCAGTATGTTGAAAACAGTTGGCTCCATTGATTTATAAAGTTTATACAACTTCTCTTTGGTTAAAATTCCGGACAACTTCATCTTGCCAAGATTATCAAATTCCAGTTGAAACTGTTTAATAATAAAGTGTGGCTTTTGTACCAATTCCTTGTATGCAATTTCTTCGAGGACTTCTTTCAAATTGTTTTCATTGGGAATTACACGACATTCAAGATTTCCCAAGATTGTAATTAAATCCTCTTGATTAACAGAAGTAAAATTCTCCAGTGCATGTGATAAAACATTTCTATCATTTATACTTAAAGTTTGTAAAAATGGGGGTACCAGTTCAGATGTTACTTGACCAATCAACATTTGTTCGAGGATAGGCATTGCCAGTTTAATTGGCAAATACTTAGTATTTATCCAGCCCACATAAAATATTTTAGCAATGGCCCTCCATTCTTCTTCTTTAAAAGTATGACTTATACACGGTATTTTTATATCAATACCAATTGTGCATGTTTCATACATCGTGGTCCAAAATTCTGAAAGTGTGTCTCGAAGCACACCACCTGTATCAACACCTTGTTCAGGATGACCATTTGGATGCAAGAGTTCGATGTATATTGTACCACATCCATGTTTATTTCTGTTTTTGAATATTTCAACCATTTCTTTAAATATACTACCACGATGAAGAACTAGTATGTTCTTTTCAATATCAGTAGGTTGTTTGATATATCCTCCATTTCCTTCATCATTCATTTCACCATAATGGTATTTAGGGATATTTCCTACACAAAAAAAAAAATGTTGTATATTGGATTAAACAAAATGAAATTTAAAGGGTTCAAAGGGTTAAATATAATAACTTCTTTATTATTTTTAACTAACTAAAAATGTAACTTTAAAATAAAATATTATTTTTTTTATATCCTTTATTTATGTACAATTAGTATGAAGGTTGTAAACTCTATTAAAATAAAAAATAACCATTTTTTAATGTGATTAATATATCAAGAGTAAAATATAATATTTAGTTTAACATTTTTTTTTTTTTTTAGTTGACAATTAACTTAAGTCATAATATCACATATTATTTAATAATTAAACTTAATTAAAACTGTAGACAAATAAATTACCTAATAAACAATTGTAAAGTGAAAAAAGAAAAAAAAATGATTAACTAAGAAATAGATTTCTAGAAAATCAAACAAAATTAATTATTTATTTCATTTTCTGGTATTATGAAAAAACACAAATTTAATTTACTGTAAGTTTTTATTTATGTACTTACCTCCATGGTATGTAAATGGTTCCAAAACATGACTGGTTGACGATGATGCACATTGAACATTAGTGTCAGTATCAGTACTAGAATCTAATTATTAAAACATATTTAGACATAAATCTGACCTATAAACATATAATATATAAATTACTGTGTTCCAAAATGTTAGGATCCGTATTATTTAATGTAGTAGCAGCATAATATGGAGAAGGTGTAGGATGATTTATAGCAATGTAAGCATGTATATCAAATGACTCCAATGCTTTATCTCTAGTGACTAAATAACATCTCGGTACTCCTAAAAAATGTATTACAGGGTGCTGCATATATATTATTATAATAAATAATTATTAACTATCTAAACTATTTTTAAATACACAATAAAGTGGAAGAGATAGTTAAATAAATACCAATTTTTCCATTTAAGTCAAGCAAATCTTCAACTTTTGTACTATTTTCAATGAATTTTTGTTCAAAGTCAACTATTGCAGAATTGAAATCATCCCAAGCACCAAATATTGTTATGTTTTCTCTACCGAAGAATATTATTTTAGTTAGTCGAAGTATATCATCTACCGTAGATGTTGATGAACACTCCACCTCCCTAATACCACCACCCAGTTTATTGATAATCTACAACCAATACACATGGATCAATATCAATTTTATAGAATTAAAAACAAATAATCATAACATAATTTCTGTACCTAGTAGAAATATGTTTATAAAATTATCAAAAAGGATTTTGATGATTAATACTGGAGAAAACAAGCAAAAAGGAATTATTCAATAAGTGAAAAAACTAACCTGTTCATATCCTATGTCATTATTATAATGAATCCAACCAATTTGTACTCTGATCGATTTAACTTCATTATTTTCAATAACCCTTTAAATATTATATAGCAAATTATTTAAATTATTGTAAATTAGTATGTAAATAATAAATTGTTTAGAATAATAATAGCAGAAAACTTACTTATCCAAAGTGGATTCAACAGGAACATCTTCTACTTTTTCTTCTACATGCAAATGTTCACTTTCTCTAAATGAGTCATTTAAAACAATGTTAGGTAACACATTGGACGCACCTTCTTTGGACTGAACTTCCTTGGCCCAATCAATTAAGGCCATTCGATCTTCATCTTTAGGTAACCATTCATAAAGTAGAAAATCGTACTCGGTTAATGCAGCCAGCACATTTATATCCACCTATAATAAAAACTGAAATTTATTTTTCAAAAAAATGATTTTTTAAGATTTATGAATTTAAGATTCAGAGCAGAGCGGTTTTACATTATTTTTACTATGTATGTGTTTTTTTTTCTGTCTGTAATCAACTTTTCAAACTGAAAACCTGCTCCGATGTATCAAATGTAGCATCTTTTCTAAAAGAAAATTTTATCTAGATGGTGTACTACAGAGGTAGTTTTTTTGATTTTCTTGTGGTTTTTATAAAAATTTGAAAAACTAGAAAAATACATAAAATGAAAACTGACAAATTCATAGTGTTAGGATTTCCTGAATTTGAACTTTTATAGTTTATGTTTTATATAAGAAATATTGCTTCAATAGTTAAACGATAAGAAACATTTTTTGTTACATTTTTGATCATATTGGGGAGTAAAAGTCATTTTTTGATTTTCTATGTATTTTTTCTTAATAATTGAGGAAAACCAGACGAAAACCTAAAAATGACGGAGGAAGTTTACATAAGTAATGATTTAATTATTTAAAATTTTTTTTTTTGTTGCAATTGAATTAGAAAATATTTATAGAAACTTGAAATTTTGATAGATAACTTTTAATGGTCTTTCTAGACTAGTCAAATTTTACAGATTTTTGAGCTATTTATAGGCATTTTATGTTTGTCTGTTTTGTTAAAATTATTTAACCAAACAGAAATTCTTGAAAATTGATCACGTTGTTTATTATAAGTTGTACTTAGTGGCCAATAAAAAGCAAAAAAAAAGACTGTTATGTAGTAATTTTAATTAAAATCATAAATATTACTCCCTTCAAATCATGTATAAATGAACTTTGTGTAAAATGGTTTTTCCTTAGCAATAGTTTATTATTGCTTATAGATATAAATTAAATAATTTAATGTACTATGGCAGGTACATTTCTATGGACTGATAACATAGTCAATCCATTAAACTGATTTGAATAAATAAAATATTGAATTATTCTTATAACTTATAAGGTGTATAATGTTTGTATTGTATCCTAATTTTCAATTATATATACACAATAATAAAATAATAAAGTAAAAACAAAATTATTAAAATGGTTAGTACTTAATGGTTAAATGGTATAAATATACCTCTGACATTGCATTCTGCAAGTTTATTTTAATCATCTTTAAAGTAGAGAAAGTGTACTCAGAAATTTCGAATGAGGGTTGAAATGGTTTTTATTATTTATATAGGAATCAATATAAATATGAGATATCTATTACAAAATATAAATAAATAATGTACAATTTTTGTAGCATAAAGTACACTACCTATGCATTCACCTTTCTAACTTTGCATCAAACAGTGACCCACTCATGGTGCGTAGTATGTCAGGCTTTTAAAATTGTATTAAGAATATATTAGGGATGCCATACAAATGGTTGAAAACCAAATCTCTTGTTTATGTGGATACACTGTAAAATTATTATCATTCTTCCTATTATCTTTATTCTTCATTGCTTTGAAATTCCATAACAAATATTGTGCTTGTACCTCATACGGATATTCTAATTTTAATGTTATAAATTGTTAATACTTAACTAAACTAAATTAAATAACTACAAAATTACAATATACTGTCATGTTATTTATTTTTAATTAATGAATTCTTATATTACCACAATTACAACAAATTTGGGCACAAGATTTAAGATTGAATTGATAAACATGGATGCACATCACCAAGTAGACAAGTACAATGGCTGAAGAAACAATTAATACAGAAAATATAAATAATACATTTACTACAGTTCAAGCCACATTTACGATTGATGGTTTTGATCCAAAGAGATATCGTTTGAATCAATTGATCCAACACATGGAAAGTTTATTCAAGGTGTTCAATATTAGTGTAGATTTATAAGTACAGTGTCTACTAAATTACCTGTATTATCTGTATGGAAATATACAATATACTATGCGACTAAATTGAACCAGGTAACCAAGCTAAGAAAAGGTATGATGAATTGGTTAATATTATGCACAAACACTATAACCCAGCACCATTAGAAATTACGCAGAACTACAGGTAAAGACTAAGAACTCAAAAAGGAGAATCTACTCAAGAATTTGTGGCAACATAATAAAGCTTGTCAATAAATTGTAAGTATGGCCAAAGCTATTAACTTAAAGCCTTAAGAAATCAATTTGTTTTTGGTCTACAAAAACCCCAAATTCAATCAAGGCTTTTGGTCATTTGAGTGAAGGTGGTAGAAAAGTCAATGGCTATGGAGGTGTCTATGAGGGATGTGGTTTAGTTACACAAATAGAATACGATAACAGGTAAGATTGCCTAACTGAACAAAGCAGGTAACAAAAGAACTTCGTTTAGTAATAAGTATAATAATTATTGTAGATATAAAGTGGAAAACAAAAACAAACATGTAGTAAAAACTAAATCAAAAACATAAATGTTGTTATTGTGGTTCGAACACACATTTAGTAAACACTTGTGATAAAACTCATGAAATTTGGGTTCATGTTTCTAAAGTTGGATATTTAAAATGTGCTTGTACTAAATATTTACAAGTAAAAACTGTAGACATGGGGAACAGTAATGGCACCAGTTGCAATATTGCTGAACTTTTTGAGATTAATGAAGATAGTAAAATAATCAGTCAAAATATTTGTTAATTTATAAATGAATAACATTGAAATTAATTCAGGGGCAGCAGTAACAGTTATAAGAAAACAAGACTATTAAAATTACTTTAACAATGTACAATTGGCAATAAATAAACATTAAAAGGCCGTGAATGGTTAAAAATAATAAAATTAGAATAGCAAAAATTATTTGGAAATAAAAATAATAAATAGTAAATAAATTATCAGCAGCAAATGAAGTACACAAACTATTATAAAAAAATCATTCAGTATCAGAATTTATAGGTGAAATTAAAAATATACAAGCAAAACCTACTATAAACCCAAACCTCAAACCTATTTTTGTTAAAACTCTATCTGTTCCTTTTACACTTAAGACCAAAATAGAGGATGAAATTGAAAATTTGGTAAATTAAGGGGTACTTAAGAAAATAAATTCATCCAACTGGGTTATGCCTGTTGTCCGGTTGTAAAACCAAATGGTAAGATAAGATTATAAGGAGATTTTAAAACCATTATAAATACATTTTTGTTAGTGTATAATCAACCATTACCAACTGTAAATAAATTATATGGCAGGTAATTTACAAAAATTGAAATTGACCTAAGCCAAGCTTACTTACACTTATCAGTACATGTTTCAAACAGACATATATTAACGTTCAATACACACAAAAGCTTATATGAATTTACTAGATAAATGTTTAGTGTAGCATCTGCATCCAAATTTGGCAAAAAGAAATAGAAAATAGTTTTAACTAGTATACCTGAAGTATTGGTTTTTCTAGATGATATTAACATTTGGAAATACTAGAATTTATATTAAAAAGGTTACATGAACAGAACTCAAAAATTAATATTAAAAAAAATATTTTATTTCAGGATTGAATTTAATACTTTAATTGATATTTTAAAGTACATGTTATTCATAATATGAGGGTCCCATTAATCAGTCTGAAGTAAGAGCTTGTTTAGGACTAATTAACTACTATGCTAGATTTTTTACAAATTTGAGTGACTTACTTTACCCTTTAAATAAATTACTGTCATAATACGAAATTTGAATGGGATGAAGAATGCGAGTACTCTTTTAATGAAATTAAAAGACAAATACAAAGTGAGTAAATATTAACTCACTAAAATATAATATTACCAATTATAGTAGATAAGAATACTAGTTCATATGCAGTAGGAGCTGTAATTTCACACATTTTTCCTGGTAGTACTGAAAGACTAATACAGTTCATACCATAAACTTACAAATATGTACAAATTAACAAAGAGACTTATGCTAAAGTATTTGCAGTTAAGAAATTTTATTAATACCTATATGGGTGTGGATTCACATTAAATACACATTATATATATTATATATAAGAAATTTAATTTAAATAACAATCAAAAGGAGGTAAGCAACAAAAGGAAAATGAAAAAATATGATTTGAATGTGAAATATGCAAATACTTTTTTCGGTCAGCATTTTGTAGACTATCAGGGTTCAATTTTTTTCAACTCTATGCCCTATGACTTTAGAAAAAAAATACTTAGTAGTGAAATTGTAAATATTAAAGATCTAACATACAAATATTTATTCTTTGAATTAGACAAGGATTTAGGGTAATATAACCCAATTTTATTTCATTATTTTTTATTTATTGTACCTATACATATAGCAAACAATTTTGATTTGTTTTTATTTATTTATTTGCCATTAACATTTTTATTTAAAAAATTAGCTAGTTTATATATTTTTAGAGTTGCTTCAAGATGTATTTAAAATTTTATCTTTTACATTGAAATATATTTACACTATGTTCTTATTTATTATAGATAAAGTAGTAATCATAGCTCTTTATCTCCAACACAAGCTGTATAAGCTTACAAGAGGTAAGTTAATCAATTCTGTAAAAAATTTAATTTTGATGTATATTGTAATAGAATGTTTTTGATATCTTAATTAAAAAATAAAAAAAATATATCATAAATCTATATATATATATATTTTAGATTCTAAGTGGAGTGAAGAATGTATTGGTTTTACAATGTTCATTTTTTTTTGTGTGAACAGTTTCTTTCAGAAATTTTACTCCAATTACTAAGTATAGAACCTTTTCTTTACAGAGGTAATGTATTAAAATTCTCATTAATATTGGAGATAACGAGGAAAACCTGGTTCTTTAGGTTAAAAAAGATTGAAAAATTAAAAATAAGGTTATTATTGGCAACCATTTATTTATTTTTTGTTATTATTAAGTTTTTATTATTTTAAATCTTTTTTAAATAATCATTGTCATAGAAATTGTTGAATTGTTAGAATTGTTGTAGTCATTTTACCATAGTATATATATATTGTTGACAAAGCAACACTATCAACTGAATTCTGCCTAGAATCGATTTTTTGTTAGCAATGGTTTATCGTTATTTACGGATACATATTAAATTCCCCTCTGTATCCTACCTTCCCAAACTACCTTCCTACATTCCCACCTACAAAACTGGCTGCACCCACCTGTGAAGTATATCCATCCTTTATTATTATTATTATCTTTATTCTTTATTATCTTAAAATTACATAAAAATGGTGTACTCGTACCTCATATGGATATACTACTTTTAATGTTATAAATTGTCAATACTTAAAATGTTAAATTAAATAGCTACAAAATTAATATATATTGTTATGTTATTTATTTATAATTAATGAGTTCTTAAATTACTACTATTAAACACCCCTGAACATTGATATTTTTAACTAAAATTTTGAAGAAATAAAAATTAGTTAATATTTTGAACAGATTATTGAACTGTAAAATATAGAAAAACAATATAAAATAAATCAATCATAATTTGGAATGTCCATTCCATTTAATAGCAAAATCTTAACATAATTTTGAACTTGCTTCAAGACCTTCAAAATATAGAACATATCCAGATACATACAGATGTCCTATAGTTGCCCCTTATAAATATCCATTTTTGAGTACAAGATTTTTCTGTTCAAGATTTTAACTTTCAATAATTTGATGTTCAAGATTTTGAAGGTCTTGACGGAGTTCAAACAAAAAATGTTCAATAAATAAATGTTTTTGAATTATTTCACTGAGGATAAAATTGATTTTATAAATTTTGGTTATTAATCATAAATAATGCTAATATTTTTTTTAATACCTATTTGGCTTGACAATATTAAAAATTTGAATACTTGGTAGAAATCATAGAATAAAGATAAAAATAAATATTATTTTATAAATAACTCAATTACTATAAGAATAGAATAAAAATGTAAAAAGCAAAAAGTAATTATGTGATAACAATGAGACACACATTAGATGCAACACTGTGATATGAATAGACTAGGTATCTACTCTGTGTACAGATGATAGTATTACCATCCTCACACTAATAATCAATAATCATTTACGACTAACCCAATAATCACTGACAAACGGTGACGAAATTAGAAATTGCATACATTTTGCTCTTTAAACAGTTAATAGCATTAGCGAGGTCCCTTGGTACCTACTATCTCCTACACAATGTACTTTTTTCAACATACCAAGTTTTAAATAATTTAAAAATAATTACTTTTTTTATAAATACAAATTTACCACCACTGGCTATATTCCCACTCCCCCCTGCCATTACAACTACCACCACAATAGTACCTACACGACACAGACAAATAAATTTAAATTTATAAGTTTATAGGTAATACATAGGTACCTTGGTTAAATCCATTTTTTGGCAAATTTCTTCAGCGTCAGGGATGTTTCTACTTCTTAAGAATTCCAAAATCAAATCCATTGCGGAATGTGACATGATTCTGCAATTGCCTGTAAATTATTTAAACATTAACAAAATACACAAGTACATACATAAAATTTGAACGTGTACTTACTCTAATAATAATATAATATAATATTTTGAGTACGTACCTAATAACTTAAAGAATAAGCTAAACACCAAACGCACAGACAATGTGTGACGCCGAGAAATAAGTACTATTGATTTTATATTGTATAATATGACCCCAGTGTGAGTGTCTTGCTCGCGTCGGCGCAGTCGGTCAGCTAACCCAAATCCCAATACTAACAAACGTAGAACACTGAAAATCGAAAAAATAGCCGGCAGGCGCGTGACGGCCACAGTTTACTTTTCGATAGCCGCACCCATGGTCTTAGAGCTAGGGTTGATGGCGCACTCTATTGATATACACATGTAACAAAATAGTGACGTGCTCCAAGTCATTTGACTTTTATACTCGTATCATTATAAAATTAAATATTTTTTAACCAGAGATTATTAGTATTATTATTGTTATTTTATTTATAACCACCCCACAGGAGTAAGTAAATATTTTACATTTTTACATTACTTAATTAAGTTTAAAGGGTCTACGTCAAAATCTTGACCAGCCAACATTTAAATGGCAAACATTTGAACGACGAAATCTTGAACCAGAAAAACCTTGATTTTTTTAATTAAAGAAAAAACTCTATAATAATGTTACATCACTATTATTTTTTGTCACCCTTATACAGACTGTCCCACAAAAATTATCCCCTTGAATATCTCCGAAGATAATAAAGATTCAAATTCTGTTTTTTTTAAAAAAATTTAATGTATCACACATTTATATCCAATGAATAATTTCTATGAAACAGCCATTTTAAATTCTTCTAATCCGTGTGAAATTCGATGTTATGTAACACGGTTAGGTTATTCCCTAGATAACATACTCTACAGATGTAGATAATATAGGTATATTGTATATATCTGCACACAGGAGTGTTCAAAATACTTAAAAAAAAGTATCTAGATACATTAATATTTACTTCTAGATACAAGATACATTCAACATTTTCCAAAAGATACTAGATACTATTTTTTTTCTCCTTTAGATACAAGATACTTGATACTAAATACTGTATCTAAGATAAAAGATAAATTAATAATAAAAAATGTGCATTATGTTCGCCTATGATGTCAGGTTTTAACTTTATTTTTAATGAAATAAAAAAATAAAAACATATTACTTACACATATTGTGCAAAAAATACTCTATTATTATTATTATTAAATAACATAAGAATATCGGAACATAAAATATCAAAAATGTAATCGTTGTAATGTAATTATTGTAAATAACATTAGAATGGAAAAATAAATGAATTATAATTTGTATCAAGTATCTAGAAACATAACAAAAAAAAATAAATACAAGATACACCATTAAAAAAAAAGTATGTACATACAATACACTAGATACAATATACAAATGTATCTAAAGTATGTATCTTATTTATTTTTCAGATTGCATATTGTTTTAAATCTTTTGAATATTTTAAATAACTTTATTTCACGTTCTTACGACTATTTAGTGTCTTTTGAATGCCTGTTAGTTTATTTTTCTCTCAAAATGAGTGACAATAATTGAATCGTTTTCATTTGACATTTGTATACAATATTAGGTGTTATAACCAATCAAAGCTTGGCTAGTGTGACCATATCCGAGTTAGGCAGGATGGTACCCATTTTTTAAAGAACGTCCTGTTAAATTTTTAAGTCTTGTCGAGACGATAAAATGTACCGATTTTTATTAAACATCACACTTTTGTTCCGATTTTATAATTTTATTGTAATATTTTATATTAATACAAATACTATGAAAACGTCCAATAATTTAATTAATATTAGATTATCTGCATTTATTGCACGTATGCTCATAGGGTAGATTTACAAAAGAAGTTGAAGGATTGGTGAGTTAAAAATTACTAATTAGAATATTTCTCTGCATCTACAGAAATTGAATCAAATTTACGCCACTGTGTTAATGTGTGGACTATATATTAAGTAAAATAATTACGTTTTTATGTATGATATGTTTTCATCATAATTCGATAATTCAATACTAATTAGTTATATATAAACTTCCTAGTCTCACCTTAAGCATAATTTACAGGGATTAAGTATCAACATTATACTAGTATATTAAGTATGTTTATGCATTGTAATATTTATTCAAAATATTTTGATAAAATAAATAATAATATCGTTAAATACCAAAATTTTCTTCCAAAATCATTATCTAGTTGACCATTATAATTTATAAGCCTTTATTAAAAAGATTTGTTTAAAAATACGTATTTTTTAAAACCGTTAAAACAAAATAAACAAGTTTTAAACATGTAAACAAAACTATCCATAAAAATCGTTTTTTTTTTAAACTTGATTTTTTCCAACCCTGCTGCGGTGCCTTGAAATCTGAGACTAATTAAAATATTTTTCCATACCATAGTATATTAAATAAAAATACAAAGCAACGCAATCATGTTCATTATACTTATAAAAAACGGTTAAAGACGACTGGAAGACGCTGGGTTCTGACACAGTTTTAAAAACTGTGACAAATGATAAAAATAATAAAAATTCTGATCAAATAAAAGTAACTAAATAATAATTATTAGAGTTGAACGAGTATCGTTTTTGAATGTCGAGTCGAGTCGAGTCGAGTTTCAATTATTTCGAGTCGAGTAAAGTTCAAATATCTAGTACTAAAAAAAGTCGAGTACTCAAAGACACAACATAATTTGAAATGGGTCGAATACTGGGAANCCTGGCTACGCCACTAAACTGGCATAAAGTAAGATGTAGAGTTGAACGAGTATCGTTTTTGAATGTCGAGTCGAGTCGAGCTCAAATGTCGAGTACTTGAAAAAGTTCGAGTACTAAAAAAAAAGTCGAGTACTCGATAATTGCCGAGTCGAGTCGAGTAAAGTTCAAATATCTAGTACTAAAAAAAGTCGAATACTCAAAGACATAACATAATTTGAAATGGGTCGAATACTGGGAATTGCTGAATTTATTTAATTATGCTCGTAAATGATTTAAAATTTTCCAATCTTTCATAAAAATCTTGCCCTAACAATTGTAAACACANAAAGTTCGAGTACTAAAAAAAAAGTCGAGTACTCGATAATTGCCGAGTCGAGTCGAGTTTCAATAATTTCGAGTCGAGTAAAGTTCAAATATCTAGTACTAAAAAAAGTCGAGTACTCAAAGACATAACATAATTTGAAATGGGTCGAATACTGGGAATTGCTGAAGTATTTTTAATTATGCTCGTAATTGATTTAAAATTTTTCAATCTTTCATAAAAATCTTGCCCTAACAATTATAAACTCAACAAAAAAAAAAAAAAAAAAAACAGCCACATCGGCCATTCTCAAGCGATGATCTTTCATATACATGCTGCAAGTAATTTTTATACTACCATATTNAAAATTGTGTCGAGTCGAGTCGAGTACTCGAACTCGACTCGAAAATTTTTTCAATTTCGAGTACTCGCCCAACTCTAATAATTATTAATTCGAAGGCAAAAATTTCATATGCGTACGGTTCGGCTGCACGCGCATGACTCAAGTTGCTATTTAAAAATTAAAAGTGGATAGTGGTTTCACCCCCAAAATTAAGAATAATAAATTATAATAGTAATGTAACATTTCAGAGCTATATTTTATAAGTTGTTAAAAAAAAAAACCCTCCGAAAAAATAAAACCTTTCCGAGATAATGCGTGTCTTATCGAAGATTAATTACATTGTAAATATTTATATTTTCCTTGCATCTAAGGAAACTTAAGGCTCGTCTAAGATAAGTATTCATTTTAATTTTTCATAACAATAATAGTCACCATAGACATGTCTACCTTCATAGGTATTAAGGCAAAATTTAAATTTATATAGCTATATAAATTCTCCCATTTTCCAGACTATAATTACAAATTACATAATATTATATTAATCTTAGATTGATTTAATTTTCAAAAGTCGTGATCTAAAGTACTTATTCAGGAGCGTCATTAGAAAGGAGCAGAAGTTTCTATGCATTCAGCCATAGATTCTTAAGCAGCTTAGGATCGGCCCTAAAGCTATTACGGGCTGTGATACAGCATAAAAATGATTATGAGTCGAGAATAATCTATCAATAATCTATGATAAAGTGAGTTCAAATCACGAATTAAGACAACAATTAATCATATTATTATAAATAGTGGTATAGAAAATTGAAAATAAATAATAAATGATAATAATAATAATAACTAACTAATCAACCCTAATATTACTGACAAAGAACATAAATATATTTACCTAAAATATTATTATGTTCCAATGTTTATTCTCGAAGTTGATCATATTGTTCAGGATATCGAGTTAATCTATGTAATTAACAATCAACCTCAATATCTCAAAATTGAATAAATGTTAATTCAAATTACCGAAGTACTGTAGTTTGTAGTGGGTAGAATATTAATAATTAACAATAATTGTTTGTAATTAAAGGAGCACAGAACACAAAAAAAAGTGTTCTTTAAATTATATTATTGTTATTATTCATTAAAATAGTAAGTCATTGGAGTAAGAACTACTAAAAATAATTTTGTCAAAATCCAACCGGAAAAAAAAATATTTAAGAAGATATTGGGATATTTAGATAAACTGCGTGGCTTCCTTGGACCAGGCTCGCTCTAATCGTCTATCTTATACGCGTGTGAAAATTGCTCGCTTTAAACAATGATTTACCAAACTAAATATTTTATTTTTGATGTTTGATTTATGTATAAATATGTGATTAATGGTCTAATGACGTCACGTGTATTTTTTCAATTTCTCACAACTCATTGAATAATGTGAGAAGAAACGTTAAACTTATACCATTATCCTAAGAATTGAACAATATTTTAAATTAAAAAAACTTATTTGTGTTTTGTGCTCCTTTAATCACTAGTTTTCTAATTTTTAGTGTGTAGACCTTCATATAGGTAGAGTGGCAAAATTTAAATTTAGAACTATCTACATTTTTCCATTATCTAGACTATAATTATTATAAGCATATTAACCTTAAAATGATTTACTTTTTAAAAAATCGTGATTCAATGCATATATTCTCAATTTTTAAATTGATACAATGTTATATTAGTCACATGTAATCTTTAAATACTTGAATATTTGACTGTATAATAGAATAATAAGTGCAATGTCTTAAATAATTTATGTAAAA